ATTTTAGATTGGTACTTACGGGATCCGAAGGTAGGTTGGGAATGCAGAACGCACCTCCAGTTGAAAGGCGAGTGCCTCTTGTAACTTACTGTAGAAATATTTTAACCCTGTTAGTCGCGATTTACGTGGAGAAAAATATTTGGAGAGAACCGCACTGGATTTTTCTGTTCTCGAAACTCAGACCTTCTACATGGGGAGGCGTCGCCTTATACATAGGCCACCAGGCTTTTGCCGTACTAATATTTATTAACTGGATAACATTTTTGTCCCAATTTAAGTGTAAACTTGCACTTTCAGCACAGAACTGAACACTGATCCACATTTCGATATCATGGATAATTAAGAACCGGGATAGCTCAGTCGGAATAGCGATGGGCAACATGCTGGATAGGTTCGATTACCGGCAAGGGCAAAATTTATTCTTGTTCATAGCTTTCAGACCGGCTCTGATGCCCCCCCAGCGTGCTATCATATGGCTACTGGGGTCTGTTTCTCCGGGGGTAAGCCGACAGGAGCGTGAAGCTCACCACTAACCTCCATCTAGTGCCGAGGTTCTTGTTTCTCTCTTCCTCACTTCACACCTCTTTCAGCACACCTTTCCTCCCCACCCTGACGGCTGTTGTGTGCCACTCCTGTGCATTCCTTGTCGCTTGTCCCACCCACCTTGACAAATACCGACCCGTCTGTATGTTTCCAGTGTGAGCTATTTGAAAGTGTCACACGTGTATTGGAATATAGCCACAAACGGCGATATACGTACTATTCATGGAGGTCAGTTGATTGTCATTGTCTGGCACGGTGATGTGAGGCCCTACCCATCCGATCCGGAAATGAAGTCCGAACAGGATCGTGCTATGAATAATCGCAGTCTCTTCTTTGCTTTTGCGGCGGTGCAGTAGTCCCTGGGAAAATTCCAGTCAAACAGACTCATGGCCATTGTTTGCTGTGAAGTCTCCTCGTATGAACAGACGACAGCGTGCTCTATGGGTATAAATACAAAGTGCGGCCACGATGCTCACCGTAACAAGCCTTGATGATTGAGACAAAGACAGACTCCGAAACAACGGATAACCGCCACCATTTTCACATGGCTGATCTGTGGTCTAGTGGTCAGAGTTCCTGGCTACAGATCCAGATGTCCGGGTTCAATTCCCGGCGCTACCAGATTTTCTGAGAAGTGGGTCTGGAACGGGGTCCACTCAGCCTCGTGAGTATAATTGAGGAGCTATTTGAAGGAAATGGCGGCTCCGGTTTAGAAAACCGATATTAACGGCCGTGGGGATTTGTTGCGCTGACCACGCGACACCCTGTATCCGCTGAAGTTGGCTCTAACTTCGCCGACAAGCGGCGGTCGCTCGATCGGTATAGTTCGCTTGCGGACTGCAGGCCGCGGTTTTTTTTTGATCTTCCTAGAGAATTTGTATTGTGCCGAATTCATCCCCTCTTTGGCTACAGGGTGTGCAGTTTAAAACGCAATCCAGACAACAATCGTGTAGTATGGTACAGGTATGAAATCAAGTTGTGTCTACGTGTAATGGAGTCGCCAAACGTCTCGTTACACATGAGTCAATGTCACCTTGGTTGTTACGTTGCCGCTGTGCGCATGCAAGCAGGCTGTTAACGTTTGTGCATTCTCGGAACATTGTTTTTGAACCTTAACCGTTTGCTGCTGTTTCTGAAGCATTTAGCAGTGCTTTCACTGACAGGGAAATACCCAGCATGCCAACAGTGCTGATGCCTTCCACTACCTCCTTTAACCTTAAAGCCGGGTTTACACGGGTCAAGTCGTGGGTATAGTATCTTGCCTCCTCACTTGCGTGGTTTTGTTCTACATGACTTGTCTTAACTACAGCCTGACAAACGTGTTTTCACGTAGTTCAGTAGATGTTCAAGTAGATGTACACAAAATGTATACGAATCAAATGCCTGATATGAGAAAGCTGGTAATATTAGCCCTGCCGGCCTGCTCACTTGCATCATCTCTTGTTTACACTGGTAAAGTCAGCGGTCAAGTAGGCGATCAAGTGGTAAAATTCGTGGTGGGGGTAGCAGTCAAGTCAAGTTACTTGTCCACCGCGCAGAACTACTTGACGCAAGTCGGTACTTGACTTGGCCGGAACTGTTTACACGATGCAAGAAAAATATTCCAATTAACTTTACCGCTCTACATGACCGATTACTTGACCCGTGTAAACCCGGCTTTACTTCTGCCTTTCCTTTCCTTTCCTTTCCTTTCCTTCGACTCTGGCATGTCTTCTGTTCTTATACCACCTCTTTATCCTTCTTCTTTTCCTCTTCCTGTTCCACCTTATTTTCCTTCCCATCTCTTCGTGTTGTACCTTCTCCATCTTCTTTTCCGACACCATCCCCTCTTCCTCCATTTTCCCTCATTTTCCTATTCTTCCTGTCTTATGTGCTCAGTGTTGCACAATAATTGTGCTTTTAGGGTGCGAAAGGATTAAGCCAACATTTGTCGCTAGTGCAACAGCTTTGGAGGCAGGCTGTTCTTCTCATGATAATGATCCTGCGTGATTAATGATTCCTTCTTCGGAAATTGGAAGTGCTGCATTGTGCTTCAGATTGAGATCATCAGAAGTAATTAGAGGACTGCGAGTAGCTTGTGGCTTCCCGAAGTTTCTGTACTGAAGTAGACTCCCCGTGACATATTTGGGTATACTACTTGCAGCACAAACCTGTCGGAGAAGTTGCCGCATGAACACGGCGTTCTTTTGCACGAAATTCATAAAGTGATCTCGTCACGGGAAGTCACAGTTGGCTCTCTCCCCGCACGTTAGTTCTCTCGCACTGCCATAGACATTTTATTGAATTCTGAGTAAAGGAATAGATGGAGTGTACACTCAGTTTGGGGGAGGGGCGTGTTCTTTCGTGCTGTAATTTCGGTTAATTTATCAGCGTATAATATTCTAAGTGCAAAACATCTCTGAGGACGCGTGATCCTCAATCAGTAACATAGATTGTTACGCAGTAATGGAAATGGTAGTACATCCTACTACGAACAGACGGCGGGAAGTAGAAACCTCCACAGCAGAGAGCTTGTTAAGCACACGGGACTTCCCCCCCCCCAAAAAAAATGTTTACTGTAGGCATGGTGTATCCTCTTGTTTTAGATAGACAATACATAATTTATATTTGTAGATTTTATTAAGAAGTCTCGCTGGTCACGGGAGCTGAGCGGTGTAAGGCATGTACTGTCTTCGCTCGCTCAGAAGCCGGGATCGTGTGTTCGAATCCCACACAAGGCATCGAAGTTTGGTATGTTTATGTGTTAATTCTGTGTCTGTGTTTAGGTAGAGGCCTTGCGACGAGCTTATCACTCGTCCAAGGAGTCCTACCGCTTGTAAAATGATCATGAAACTGAAAATCAGAGGTCAGGGTCCAAGAAGGCTGTAGAGACAGTGAAGAAAATTTAAGAAGTCTCAGTACTAGGTCATAACTGGGCACGTGACATAATTGTGTTTAAGGTCTATAGCTCTTGTTCGAAACGTATGAGTATATGCTAAATGCAACCAAATAATGCATTCCGCTCTGCCAAGTTAAGTTTCTTAACACCACGCTTACTAGTAACATGTGCATCGCACAGACTCAAGTGTAAGCGCACATTCTGCACCAGAGCTGTGCTGTTTTTAGTTCTGTGCACAGATCACCTGTGCAGAAGTTTAAAGCCCTGTTACCGCTCAGGTATGATAATTCTACAGAGAATGCCAAATTATGTTGGTGCATATTTCAGTCTAAAATAGTTGTGGCTGTCTGTGGCCACGACGTTCATGATTTATTTAACAGTGCTGTTTCAACTGAAGAAACTAACTGACACTCACAGATGGTGTGACTAGTGACTATGTGAAGATATGGAAGGAGGCGGTCGTGGTCGTTTGCAATATTCGTTTGGAGGGACTGAATAAAGATGCGAAAATAATTGTCATGCTAGTGGGTAGAGTGGCCGGTATTCGAATGTGTGCCTCTTGAATTAAAGTCTAGGTTGTTACCGGTACACTAACCTGCTCAGTGAGTATGTTGAAGACAGGCCAGTGCATATACTGTTTGAGATATGGATTTCTAAAAGTACTGCGTTAGTACGACTGTCAATGTGGTCGGAGTTCCTGGCTGCAGACCCAGTGGTCCCGGCTTCGATTTCCGGCGCTAACAGATTTTCTGAGAAGTAGTGGGTCGGGAACGGTGTCCACTCAGCCCCGTGAGGATAACTGAGGAGATATTTCAAGGAAATAGCGACTCCGGTCTAGAAAACCGAAATTAACGGCTGTGGGGATTCGTTGTACTGACCACGCGACACCCTCTATCCGCTAAAGTTCGCACTAACTTCACCGAAAAGTGGCGGTCGCTCGGTCCGTATAGTTCGCTTGCGGACTAGAGGCCATGGAGTCTATTTGTTTGTTTTTCCTTTGTTCCAAAAGTATTAGTCATTAGAGCGCAGATGAAGTTAAATTGTTATACAAGAGGATGGTTAAGTTTTCCTGCACCACTCATATGTTTTCATGGGACGTCAGGGGTTGAGTGATTAGCCTTCCAGTCTTGAATTTGAGAGGTTATAGGTTCGACTCTCAATGCCAGAAACAGTGTTCTTCACAAGGATTTCTAGGCAAATTCTGAAACAGAAACCTGTAAAAGGACGCAGGCTTACGATAGCATTCTCAGTTTATCATTCACTATTTCTCGCATTCGACGCTGTATAAACTGCACATTCGAGAAATAGTCCTTAAATAAAGCAAGAAGAAACACTTCCTTACTGAACAGGATGGTTCAGTGTAACGTTGTGGACTTGTGTTTTGGAGGTGGCCAGGCAAATACCAGAATGGTAACTCGATTATGCCACAACCAGTTTCTTCCAAATCCATTCTGTTTCATCAATCATCCTATCATTGAACACTGTTTAGCCCAAATACTGGCACCGCCATAAAATATGGAACAAGAAAGGAACCGCCATTATATGTTTCTATGTGTAATGGCCATATCTTGTGTTGCAGCTTCGGGGTCCGGCTCAGTGATCGGGCGTGATCCCCTGCCGCCCAGGGCCGTGTCGGCAATGTCATTACAGCAACAGGTCAAAGACACTCCTCCTCCTACCATCACTCTGACATCAGAGGACAGCCCACAGGACCACAGTGCACCCAACAGTCTGGCCAGGAAGACTAGCCCTTCCCCTGGCCGCATGAGCCATCCTTCTGTACCAGGCAGCCCAAACAGTCCAGGGAACATGGAGCGATCTGACACTGTTGATGGACAGGGGAAGAGGGTGAGTGTTTTGTGCTTATTCCTGCCAGTAACGCTGCAAGTACGTGTCTTTTAATCCTTCTTCTGTAGATTTTTGAGGTGGTGGAATTTATTTTATGGAGCTTGGCATGGATGTCACTCTGACATAATATTTGTAGAGGTCTTTTCATCACAGATGACATGGCAGTGATGGGAATTGTAAATTTACCTTCTAGCTCATTGAAATTATGATGTGATGTATGTGAAACTAGATACACTATTGTTTGGAATGAAACATCCTGACAGGGCAAGTTATGGTGTGCATTCTAATTTCAGTGCATCAAGTAACCAGAACGTTAGACTCATTTTAATGTTCCATTTAACGTAGAGACTTTCAGCTTCCACAGATAGTCAGCAATACAAATGAGGCGTGCAGAAAGTTTGCATGTCCGGTCGAAAACTACTTGATATGTACTCGTATGTGAAAGAAGATAGTGATGGAAATGTCTGAGCACATACTTGTGGTTTAGAATATAGCATACAGTAATGCCTTATTTAAAGATAAGCTATGTTCTGATTACACCATGGATATGAAATCCATGTCATGCAAAGGCTTGTTCTTAGAGGAGGGCAGAACAGTACAGTGCAGTGCAGTAGCAGTAGCAGTCAGACCCCTACTCTAATCGAAGAGGAGGACCCAATTTCAAAACATAAAGTGTGGAAAGAAGAAGAATATGGCTATTTCCAGACACTGATAATTCAAGGTTTAAATATCTCCTGAAGTGTTATTAATAGAAACTGAATGAAATATAACATCATTCTTGAAAGTGGGAAGTTGGAATTCTTCTGTTTCCTGTTAGTTTTAAGAAACTAAAATTATCTGTACATATCATAAATGTGTTTGTAATATTGTGCATCAGGAAGAAACTGTAATGTGACATTAAAAACAGAACCGGGGTGGCGGTGGAGGTGGTGGCAGCAATGCAGGTGGCAGTGGACCATGGGGTATCAATGTCTCAGCAGGGGAACTTCTGGGCAGAACCCATGAGGAGTTGGTACTGCTGCTGATCCAGCTGCGACGCCAGAGTGCGGGAGTATGTAAAGCCATGGAGACATGTCACTTCGAGATTGAGGCCCAGGTTTGTCTTGTTGACAGATTGGCAGCATTGGCATTGCTTCAGATTGGCAGCATTGTGGTGGTGGCTACTACTGTAATTTGGTTGTCATTTGTAATGGTACTAATAATTTCAAGTTCTATATGCATATCCATAAAGAAATGCATCATACTTGTGAAGAGTTGATATAGACCCTTCTTTTCCTGATCCATTTATACCAACATGAAATGTTCTGACAAGAAGGTACTGAAAAACTGATGCAAAGACATTGCACATACTTTCTCATATATGCTTGATGGATCACAGCCTTTCATCTTCCTAAAAAAATATTTCAGAAAAATTATTTACTTTAAATATAAACTACTATACTATTGCTTGACTATACTATTGCTAGTCTGCTTGACCGTGTCTCACGGTGTTGTCGCTTGCAGATTTACCTATACTTCTTCACCCTGAAGATGGGGGCGATACGTTCCTCCGAAACGTCGGTTAACACCACATATACACGGTGCCAAATCCCAGAAGACTGCTTTCTTCTTACTATACTATTTAATCAATCATAACAATATAATATAAAAGAATTAATTTGTCATTCCAGGTTTCGAACCGTGACATGTTTGATAGTGACTGTTCACTTGACTTTGAGTGCATGAACATATATTTGTACCATTTCAAATTTGGGCTTTTGGTTTTTGCTTCTTTGCCTTTTTAGTGGGATTTTGCCTTGTTTTGAGAAATGTGACCTACGAATTTTATTGGGACAATTAACACTTCAAATTGGTGAAATGATATCAGTCGCGTCCAGCTACTCTTACCATTTTGCATTTGAGCCATCTTGAGCGTGTATCATTACTTTCTTGAATATGTCACTTATGCCATTGTAATTAGAAAGATGATCTCCATAAATTACTGTAATTTCAGTAAAGTCATTAGATATGTTTTCCAGAAAATCACAATTTTGTGCTACAAAGAGTCGCTGTTTTTGTATCTGGAATGTTCATATTCACCAGGCGCTATCCAGTGATGGATAAACTCTTGAACACTGTATACAAATAAAATGTGTCCCACCAATCTGATGATAGTGAGACAGACATATGTGCATATATGTATACATGCATGTGCAGTTAATGTAACATTCAAGAAAATACAAATCCATCAAGAATCACAAGATATTCATTTTTCATANGACATTCTAGAAATTACTTTATTTACTCAGGGATGCTAGAAAATACAAATCCATCAAGAATCACAAGATATTCATTTTTCATAGTGCATTGTATTCTCATGAAACTGTAATATTTGTGAATTTCAGCTATAGTAGTCAGGATATGATATTTAATTAGGGAGCGAAATTAACATTTCCATTTATATTGTTATACATTACTTTCAAAGCACTTCAGATTTAGGGGAGGGGGGAATTGTCTTGAGCAATTGGCCATGTAATTATACAGTAAAAGTTCAGTATTTTGGATATAAATTGCATTCAGTCAGTGCGAAACTTCAAGTCATATATGGCAAAATACTAGTTACCAGCCAGTCAGTAAACAGTCCTTATTATGTCATTAAGTAGTCAGCAAGTCTTTTCAGTACCAATACTAAATTGAATGTTAGGAAGCCTTAAAACAATACCTCAATGAGACAGACATTTGTGACATGTATGATGATACATTTTTATGGAATGTGTACAGAATGCCTAACAGGTGATATAAGTGTGCGTTTTTTCCAATTGCTGTCCATACTGTTGTTCCGAATATTCTAGAGCAGACTCTTGTAATCAGATAGAAACAAGAAGAAATTTGTTTAAAATATTTTGTTTATTGTGTTAATATGCAGAAATTATGTGTTTCATTTTTACACTCCAGTTTTCAACAAACTACCAGTACATTGTGCCATGTAAAATACATTTCAATACATTTGGTCTTGCGAAAACATTTATACAGATTTTGTAGAATTGTAATAAAGAATGGCCACAATTTATTCACCACATTTCAAGTACAAACAAACAGTGTTATGCAAGGTACAGAGAATTGGTTTGTTTCACCTGAAGGAACAGCTCACCAAGTTCAATGTGAGCACCATTCATGGCTTACAGAATGGCCAAATAGTACTCAGTTACATGTTGATATACACCATCTGGGGCATCTCAGAAGGAATTGCATTGTTGGTTCGCAGAGTAAAACTACACTCCAAGTTACCTGGTCCTTTATGTAGCTCCAAAAAGAAATGTAGTGGGGTGGGGTTAGCAAGGGGGCCAAGGGATTTGTGTGTCCCACCTAGTCCTTTTGGAAAAGTTTTATTCAGAGATTTTCTTACTGTAAGGCCCCAGTGTGGAGGGACACCATCTTTTTGAAAGAAAATGTTTGGTTGAAGGTGTGTCATCTGTGTGACTGCATGTAATTCAAGCATATTTATATAATTTGTACTGTTAGTGGTCTTCTCTTCAAACAAGAAGGGTCCCATCACCTAATGCACCCTTCATATGCAAGACACTATATCTTTTGAAACTTTTCCAACCATTGTTTTGTGGACTGTCTCTCCCAGATGCTTGTTCTTCATAAGGTAATGTCTTTGCACTTGAATTAGTGATTTTATCTCCCAGTACCCCAACACAGACTTTCCTTATGCTGGGGGGGGGGGACTGCCATTTTGTCTTTGACAGCTGTGTATGTTTCAGCAGCGCCACTATTGGCTGGGCAGTCAGTTAACACTAAAATTTTTTAGCAGTTCTTTTGATCAGTGCAATGCATTTCCCAGCATTTCTAAAACTTTGATTTATATAAGTTTGAATTTTGGTGAATAATTTATGGATGGCCATCTCTGCATTTTTGTTGGCTCACAAGACAAAGGAGGAGATTGAGTGGCAACACACAACATTAATTATCATGAAATACTGACTCATTTGTGTAGGGTGAAGGCAGTTTTTCCTTTAGTCCCACAAGTAGTGGTCTACATTGTGCCAGGGAAGTATTTGTGATGTATTGTCTGTTCAAAGTTAAGTCCTTAATCACACATTTCTGTCAGAAATAGTGCATCACACTAACTCCATAAAAGGGGTGTTATACTTACAGTATTGTCTGAAGGAAACAAACAGAGATAAAAAATATTCTATTTTCTTCCACAGATATTACTTCGCTGTTTCCAGTTGTGTGAAATAATAACAAATATTGTCCTTCAGAATTTCCAAGGGTTCTGTCATCTGTTTTACTTCTTCCTGTGTAATAAATATCTTGATTTTTCTGACATAGCTTTAATTATGTTGTCTTTCCAGGTTTATTGTTGTTCATAACTTTGTGCATGTTGAGGTTGTTTATGGTCTGTGTAAAAACTCTGGAAGATGCACTTACAGCATTGCTGTATTCCCTATGTTTCTGTGATATAACCTATTTATTATTACTAACAATCATGTCTTAACTTTAGAAGTGAGATGATATTGCTTGTGAATTTGTGTGGTAGTAAGTATGTAAATATTTATCTCTTCTTTAATGTCAAAAGAGTAGTTTATTCATGAAATAACTTACGACATTGTATGTATTGCAGAAAGAATGTAGCAACAACCCGTATGTGAGTATGATTGTAAGTGTTGAGATTTAAGAAATGCGGAAGGAATCATTCATGGTATATCAGTAGATATTGCTTAGGTATTCTCCTGGAAGAACTCTGGAGGTCTACAGCATCTGACATATAAGCTGGTCCTCAGGCCTGAGTGTAAATTCCCACCCAAGCCAACTTGGAGGAAACAGATGAAGTTTATCTTATGTTACTGAATCCAGAGGGGGCCACTAATCATGTGATTGAAGCATTAGTAGTGGTGATTCTGGGCAGAAGAGTCTGAGCCCCCCATATAACATTGGACACATGCAAGCAACTCCTTAGACACGTACTAAATTATGAACAAAAGTAAAATGCCATAACAAGATATATAAAATAATTTACACTGTCAACTACATTTTAGTCAGCCTAACTGGTTTTATGGGTACCCCAAACTCTATGACAGTATTGTACAATACTTTCCTCCTAATTGAATCATAGGCTTTCTTGAAGTCTATGAATAGCTGATGTACTCTCTAATCTAACCGTCCACCCTCTCTTTAGGCTTCTTGCCCACAAGGTGGTTGCCACTTGTCACTTTGGCTGCCCTACCTGGTGCTGCCTCCGTTGAAGTTGTTAGGTCGTGGCTGGTTCCGGCTTGACCAGGCTCCACCGCTTCTTCCGGCTCCACCGCTTCCTCCTTCNCTAATTGTAGTCCCATTTTTTTCTTCGGTATCTGACAACTGCAAAAAATCTGATCCGTAGTTGATTTGTTACATCAAAACTCACACTGATGATCCCCCAGTAATTTCATCTCTTTATGGGCTTAACCTTGATAGAAGGATATTGAATAAAATTTTGTATGAAGTTGGTAGCAGTTATATTCTGTGATAATTGCTACAGTCAGTTTTATTGCCCTTCTTGTGAATTGGTACAATAATAGACTTCTTCCACTAATCAGGCAATTCTTCCTTATTTCAAATAGAATTAATGATCTTATGGATCTTGGAACATAATATTTCACCTCCATTTACTTGGCTTGAATTCTGTAACCACTGAAGTTTGGCCTGCTTCCTTTGATCTAATAATTTTTAGCATCCTTCATCAAACTATGGCTTGTGCTTCTTCAGTTCATAATAACATAGACACTCTTTGTCTGAAATTTTTATATCCTCTCTAATAGTTTCCCAAGCTTTATGAATATCCACCTCAGCATCCAAGTTTTCCAAAGCTACGAACCTACTTGAGATTTCAACACTGCACTGCTCTTTACCCTCTACCTCATCTAATTTCTTGAGATTGAACATCTCCATATGAAATCTGTGCGTTCTTTGTTTAGTCACTGCCAGTCTTTCTCTAACCTTTGCTACCATCAGATAGTGGTCAGTATCATTAACTGCTGCTCTGAATGATCAGACATAAAGTATACTCGAATGCTGTCTCTGTCTATCAAAATACAGTGGGCCCTAGAGCCAGTCTCAGTGCTGTGGAGTAGAGAAAAATCTCCTGCCCTTGCCAGGGATTGAACCCCGGCCTGTAGGTCATAGCTATACCAAATGAGCTATTCCAGTCTTAAGATGGATTGTTCTTAGCACAAAATATTCAGGTAAATACTGGCTGTGACATGGGGAAAGAAAATCTGAGGAGGTCAGAACAACCAGACAGCATACCACTGCTACTCACTGTTGTCAACCACTTCAGAAATATACTGTGCTCAGATGTGCATTTAAGTCACATGAAGACAACATGAACAGTTGTTGTGACATGTTTCATTTTTAAACAATGCTTCTTTAAAATTTGCATTAAATTTTTGTGAAATTTTTAATTAAAGATCCATATTTTTTGTTTGTATATTACTTTCAAACCTCAATAGTTCATTAAACTTTCTTGATGGAACCCATTTAATAGGACTAGCTAAGTGACTGTCAGTTTCTTAAGGTCTCTCCTCAATAGATTTGGTTATTATGAGACCTTCCTGATCTTATATTTATTCAAGCACTGAGACAGTGTTGAGAGTGAGAGGGACAGAAGGAGTAGATGAGTTTGTTCAGGTTTCTGTAATTAGCCCAACACTCTTTATGTATCTGTAGATGTTACTGTATGTTTTGTGATGTACCAGTATTGAATAAGCGATGTTGACTTATATCTTGTGTATGTCTCAAATTAAGCTCAAACTATTTCATATTTAGGAGTATCTTATTATTGTGCCATTTGGCAAGCCGAGGAATATATTGAGTTTCATACTTAGCAAGCTTTAACTGACATTTCTCCTGATTATTGCAGTTTCTCCAGACAAATATCTGCTATCATGTAACCAGATACGTTATTTTGAATTGTCTCATTCTGGTCCACTGCACTATTAAGTTAGAAAGTTAATAGAATTTTCCATCCAGTGCGGCAGTAGAGGTCACATCACTTTTATTATTCTTGCCTTATATGTTTCGGTTTAATTAAAACCATCATCAGAGGCAGTACAAAGGACACAGCACACACGTAACATCATAACGCATATAAGCCCACACACCACCAAGGATTGACGACTCCCATCCACAGGAAGAATTGACAACCAACAACGACTTACGACAATTTGAATTGAATTTTAAATAGTTTAATAGTGATTAATCCTAACATAAGAAATCTACTGTGGGAAAAGTGATAATTGCTGTGCTGCGTATAGCCTGTTGGCATACTAATTTATTCTGCATGTTTATGTTTTTATACGACAACGAATGCCATCGTAACTAAAACCTATGACAATAATACGAAACATACATCTGTGAATAACACAACTGAAAGTGAACATCAAACCAGCTTAATTAACAGTGTCTCCTGCTGTATGAAAAGTGCCTCTGATGATGGTTTTAATTAAACCGAAACATGTAAGGCAAGAATAATAAAGGTGATGTGACCTCTATTGCTGCACTGGATGGAAAATTCTATTGACTTTCTAACTCAGATAACTTTCATTATTAAAATTTGGTGCTATATAACCTCTGCAGAAGGTATGGTGTCTTTACATTACATAATAAAAATCAAGATTGAACTTGATAAGAATTACAGCAGAGGAAACTTGATGTCATGGTAACATCTGATTTGTGAAAAGAGTTAAGTCTTTATGTGGATATCCAAAGCATATTGCATATTTCTCGGTTCCTAGTCGCATTACCATCATAATAACTGGCAAAATTATTGGGTTCCAGCTGGATTTTTTGCAGCACCAGCACATTTTATAACCTTCAAATGAACAGAAGAAATGGATGCTGAAAGAAAATATTATATTCATAATTAGTGCACAATTCTGTAGTATGAGAAATATTGCCATCAGATATGTCTGCAACACCACAGAACTGTCACATTGACAAGACAGTACATTTGTATTTTGTTTTATACTTTTACTGTAGAGAAAGACACTCTTGTTCAATGTATGAACTTTAATAACTTGTGATAGTTTTAATATTGTATATATTTCAGGCATGTTCATTTTTTATTTTACAGAAATACATTTTCTTCATATGTAATAAAATAACTGTTATATTAATTTCTCTCGTCCTTTTGTTCTTAAAACTCAGTAGGAATTTTGCATCAGTCTGCTGCTATTTGTCCGTATTCATGTTACTCTCTATTGAAAACGCTGTTTTTGTAACCTCTCACCACATTATGTTATGGTGTTGCAGGAAACTAAGATCATTTTCATGTTAACACTTGTAGGCTCGTCTTTCTGAACTTGAGGTGCCCAAAAGACTGGAACACTTGCAGAAACTGGATGAGCTCAAGAGACACCTCCTAGATCTAGAGAAACAGGTAATAACATAACTAAAACTGTCACTTGAGTAATTACAATTGATAAATGAATATACTTGTTAAATGGTTTATTAATTAGTTGACCTTTTGACTACCAAGCCCTGCCATAGAACTAGCTGCTCCCCCACACTTTCGTGTTGTTTCTGATAGGTTAGATCAGTTTTGAGCATATGGCAAACCTGGAAACAAGTCGTAGCACATAGTGTGATGTTTTCTAAGGTAAAGATCATCATCTGTTGGAAGGAACTTCGAAATTGTAATTTAAATTTTGTCCAGAATGCGTAAGAATCTGCAGTTATAATTATCTATCAAGGTGTGCCCCCCCCCCCGGCCACACACACACACACACACACATGCACTGAAAACCAGAAATGACCTTGTTAACCTTGATGTGACTGGGTTAATGGAATAGAAGAATATATAAACTGAAATGTGAAGATAAAAAAAGAAGTTAGTTTAGTGGTTATAGGTCAGTGAACAGGGTTTGATTGGTGAAACAATCTTTCTTTTGAGGATTCATAGCAGTCATGTTTTTTTTTATAACTAAATCAGTTATGGAAGATAATGAGAAAGTCTGTGTAGTAAATTCAATGAAATGATTCCTATTGAAATATCTGTATAAAACAAATGCCATCAGAAAATGGATTAGCTACTCATGGCTGCAGTGTGAATGAGCCATAGCTGATCTTTATTTCCACCAGAGGGAACTAAAGGGGAGCATACTAGTCCTTAATTTTTGTGGCTGGAGCTTAATATGTCTTTGGCTATCAAGACTATGCCTCAACAGTTGTTGAGTTTTACAGTGTTCCAGAAAGTCTTGCAGTTACCAGAGTCAGGCTTTATGACTTAAGGAGAGAGCTGTGTAAGAGCTGCCAAAACCATTCCCAAAGTCATTAATCTTGAAGATGACAACTACAAGATTTGCTGAATTGGAAAACCCTCAATACGTGACATGTTCTAGACCAAGGAGCTGCAGCAATGTGCTAGAAGCAAGGATAGGGCTCTTTAATTGTTGGATATTGATGATTGTCTTAATAGTAATGTAGTTACTTGGAAAGAGGGAAACACGGTTTCAACCCCGAGCCAGAATATCTGAAATGTTTCACACAGTTTGAGATCCTTGCTTCACTAAGACACTTTTCCATGAAGTCATTTATCTCATGAATTATGTGTTTGAAGTGTTTTCTCTGTGTGAAAGGTAAGTATTCTGTAAACCTCTTGGACAGCATGGTAGGGCCTGTAAGTCTCTATATCATGGCTGTGATATACCACTTTTCCAGCAAGTCAGATTTTTCTATAGAATGTCATGTTTCACATATTTTCAGTATGAGAAGGGCAAACCCCTTGTGAATCTAGTGGACAACATGGTGAAGTTGGGGTCTCTGTACCGTGGCTCTGGCGTGTCACTACATTCTCGAACTGGAGGGCCTGGTGATGTGCACAATGTTCGGGAAAGGTTAGAGTTCAATCAGAAAGTGCAGGAGCAGAGGTTGTTGGCTGAGGAAAGACGAGACTGGGACAGAGTCAGCCCCGACCGCAGACAGCTACAGGTAAATACCAAGAGTGTACTCAAATTAAGTTAAGACAGTAAGAGTACTTGGATCGTCAACTCTTTAATGAGCCATTCGCTTATAGTGAAAGACACACATTTATTAATAAATCATAATTCGACAATAAATTAACATATATTGATAAATTAAAATTTTGATATGTAGACAAACTGCCTGGATTTTGTAACTCTCTACTGATTTGTGACTTGGCTGTGCTATGCTATCTAGTTTGGGTTGTGACCCCCTAGGGCGGTTGCTGTCTGCTTTAATGAGGTCACCAAGTTCTTAAAAATTCTTTAAAATGTAAATCGTATCCATGCATAGTTTTGGTAAGCCAATAAGGTTCCGAAGAATTTAGCTGCAATCAGCAGGCACTGATATAGGTGAACATGCTGAGTCCTCGATCATCATTCCTAAGGGGCTTTAATTAATGGGGTTGCATAACTTTGTGTATTAATCTTCATTTCATGCATCCTGTTGTGTTACAATATATAACTTTATTTTTCCGTTACAACACAACAACTAAGGAGTATCAAGGTCAATATCCAGCTTGCCTCAGTACATGTTTTGGCCATTAGTTGTTGTGTTGTGAAGGAAAAATAAAGTTATATTTGTATATTAACTTAGGGGTTGTGATATCATGAAGTGTGAGATCCCCTTAGGTACAATCTTACAGTTGCACCTGTTCTGTGGGTTTTAGTGTTTCATTCTGTGACTGTTACATTGTGCTGAATCCTTAAAATTCGGGTGTTAGATTTGTCTTTGTAGCATTTCTATATTTTATCATTAGCATTGTCATTTTAGAGTTACGTTATTATCAAGAGTTCTGTCTTCTGGGATGCAGTGCCTTGTAGTCTGGTAGAATTTTACTTTTTATCAGAAGAACATACTGTCTCCATCTTTGAGATAGAAAAATTAGCCATGGGAACTTACTTGGCTTACTTTTCGACTCAGAAGATGAAGAAAAATATTCCATCAAAATATTAGTAAATTTTGCACAGCATTACATCCAAGAAGATAGCACTAATGTGTGAACCTCAAATCTTGCATTATTCCATTTCTGTCTCTTGAATAATTCTGGACCTGTTACAAAACAGAAGCTTGACTACCTCCATATAGCAGGGGCGCTGAAGCGATAATGCTCTCCCAGATACTCAGTAAGTCCCTCATCTTTTACAGGACTCAGTGTTTTATTACCGTGTTCACAAAGACCCACTAATAGTGTCTGTTATCAGGATGTGCTATGCCGTAGTGACAAGGGGCCCACTTAAGGTGAACTTTAACTTGCTCCCAATCTGTATGCTTGAAATTTCTCCTGTGTAAGTTGACGTTTTTTTTACGGTTTTGCCACATAACATGGTAAGGTATGGAGTTACAGCCTACATGAATAGTATTAAGGGGGTTTAACAGTTGGGCATATGTAAAATGAGTTTCTCATTTGGGACAAGTTAAGATGAGAATTTGTACAAAAATTTTAAGAATGAAATGAGGATGAGAATTTTCTTTACTGGGCAAAATATTTTTCATTAAGCACAGACTGTAACGTAGCCACTATTTCATCATGCACTAAGGTGTACTAGTTATCCCTTCTGATATCACACCCCTTTTGAGTGTTAAGTTTTCAGAAATCATTGTATTTAAAGAAATCTCTGCAAAGAAGTTGCCCCGTATTTTTTTTTATATGATTAACCTTTTACAAAATTACCTTAGTATTTTCTCATATGTGATTAACCTTCACTAAATTGCCTTGGAAAGAAATTTTAATGCTACTTGGGGTACCATTGTCCATTACTGAATACCGAGCAACAATGAAATTCATCCAAATGGTAAAGCCAGGTTCAACAAAATGGACAGTTCGCATTTGGGTCCCAATACACATTCCAGTGTTTTCTTATTTAGGGATATGGCCTTCATAAATTACTGAAATTTCATCAGTGCCATTAGAATGGTTTTACTGAAAATCATTTTATTATTTGTGCTCTTTTTCTTTATAGTTACAAAGAGGAAGGGACAGATTTTATTGACAAATTGCTATGTGCTAGCATTGCCAGCCATAGAAATTCTGATGTATTGGGTTCTTCATGTGTCACTGTGGGACGCAGATCCAGTTATGTATAAACTCTTGAAGTCTGAGACTGAAAAGAACAACTGATTTCTTTTCTTTTGATCTTAATTCGATTTTTAGATTTTTACCCTGTACTTGCCTATGAAACAGTCTGCGGACACAGTATAGTTTAAATTAGTGTCCATTGTTTATCTTCCATCAAAATTGCAACACTTATACATTCTACACTTCAACACTACATGTTTCGGCCTCAAACGGCCAGCTTCAGGTGTTTTTATGTTACAGATATTTTACTAAAACTATGCTAAAAACTGCTACACTGTCTTAATCCGTGTTAAAATCAGACGCTGTAGTCTTCTTAAGTAAAACGAGATACTACAATCCTTTAAAATTTCTGTTGCACCTCACCCAGGGTGTCGTCATTTTCGTAAGTGTGTCAAGGTGTTTTTCTCGGCAGCTTGCCCCTCACGTTCGTGGTCTACTTTCAGTTTTTGACTGCCATATGCTCCTGGTTTGTGTGTGCTTCCTCCACAGCGTGCGGTGTTGTCTTTACTAGTCCAGTATAACAGTTTTTAACACAGTTTTAGTAAAATATCTGTAACATAAAAACACCTAAAGATGGCCGTTTGAGGCCGAAACATGTAGTGTTGAAGTGTAGAATGTAAAAGTGTTGCAATTTTGATGGAAGATAAACGATGGACGCTAATTTGAACAATTGCAATGGGATGCTGAAGTACAGAAACAGTATAGTTTGTTTCCAAAGTGAGGTGTTAACTTTTGGGTATGTTACTAAAAAAGGAAGGTATTCACACAGACTGATGTCAGCGACATTAATTGCAGGCCAAAGTTCAGGAGTTGTACCGGCTCGATCGCCTCCTGCAAGAGGAATCTGGCACACTGCAGAGCCTACAGCAGGATAAGGTAAGTGGTGATTGTAGACTTGTACCTTCCCTATTGTATTTTCATGTGGTTCAGTGATAGGGGTTTGCATTGATGTTTGGATTTATTGGACTCTTTGATACAGCATGTGACTACACTTTACAATACACTGTTTTATACGTACATACATACATACATACATGTACACACACACTGGTGTCCACAGTCACATCTTTATGACCATTGCTTGGTAATGGCTTCCAGTGGCAGATGTTCTGCTTCCTCGGGGTTCCTAAACTCTCCCAGGTCTCAGCTACCAGCTTCTCACAGCAGCAGCTAACAAGGACTGTACTGCAGCAATGTCTCACTCTCTCACTCCCCAGCCAACTCTTCACTAACCCCACTGACTCCATTGGCATTTTGGCATGGGCTGTGTAAGAAACAACACTTCTATTGTTGTTTTATCTTCTTACTTCCGTGGGATTTTTGCATTTGTGTCTGTTGGTGGAGACACTACATAGCTGCATCTGTTGTGTAGTTGCTAGTTTCACAGATATTGCCTAGCAGTGGGTCTGCATGCCACATTGTTTCCTCCTTAATAGCCTACAGGTGTCACCATTTCCTTCTTATCCAAGGGCTGTCCTTGTGACATCTGTGATTTTCCTCACGTTTCTTCCCCTGGCTTGGTTCTTGCTCTAATTACTCTCCAAATGCTGCTGCTACTCTATTCTTAAGACAGTTACCTGGTAAGGTGTGAGCCAGCCCAAGTGTACCACTATCATCTTTTTCCTTTACTGTAGGCTTTAGGCCTTTTTTCTTTCATTTCTGGGGGTTGCCGACCCCTCCACAATATCCATTCACTCACTTCCTATAACTTGATAGAAATCCCGACTACTCACTTCATGACTTCCAGTCTGAGAGTCTGCCTAATGCTCTTGTTTTATGCTCTCTTACTTCCTAGACATAGCTGCTGTCTTAGGTCTGGTTCCTATGATGTTGTTGCATTCTGAGCCCTTTGGTAGTCCCTTCTTGAGTGTGGGTCCTTCATGACTGCAGCTGTTATGCTGTACAGGAACTAAATAAATACACAGTGCAGGAATTATATATAATAGTTTCTTTCTGGTTATGGCCCTATGAGGTTGAAACATGTCATAGAAGTAACCTTCATAAAACAGTGACAATGAGGACAACAGTTTGCTCCTTCATTTCATGACAATTCCTCACTGAATTTTATTTTACTCCCTGAGTGCACGTACAGAGCGATAAAACCATCACCATATAGTGATTACATATGAGTTGTCAGAAATTTTCTGTCCTGTTTGAGCTGCATAAAAAAATAAAGGAAGGGGCCTGTTGTGAAGGAAGTGTTTTTAGAGAGTTGTATCTTAGTAAGAAAACCATTCCTTTGGGTTTATAAGCCTAGGAAAAGCTGCAGGCCATGTTACACGGCCATGTTTTTTGACAGCTGTAGTCACCATTCAGCCTCTGGCCATTACTTTCAGTGAGGACTAAAAATTGTCCTTTAACCTGTAAAGGTTAATTAGCAACATCCATCAGCAGTATATGGGCTGATTCAGAAAGTGTCTGCAGATTTTTTTTGGTATACAAATTGAGTCATTTTGAGTTAAATAGAAATGCCATTAATATGGGTCAGATTTTGAAAGTTTAAGCATCATGGCAGTTTGAAAGGAAGATAGGCACATACCATAAATAAGGATTTTTAGGGAAATTGTCACAATAATTACATTGTAAATTGAAAAGTATTATTTAATAATGAAAAATGTTACAGAAACTGTCTACATTGTCCACCTGTGGCTTAAATGCATGTTTGAGCAATGTGGTTCTCACCTCAGTATTCTCAATGCTGAGAAATGAATGAATGAAACTGGCAGAAATGTTTTCATTTTTTTAATTTTGCAGTGTAAACTGAAGGTTTGTGGGATTTGAGTAGAGCATGTGGTAAGGCTTTAATAAAATAGAAAACCCAGTTTTTCATGTTTTCTTGTATTTATATTGCATTGCATATGGCAGCAGGCTGTAATGCATTGTTTCTGAACATTTTTCAGTCAGCATATCCCTTGGTTTTCTCATGTACCCTATTTCAATTTTCACTCTTACCACAGACTGTGTTATAAATATGAGAAGATAAGAGATATATTCATTTTAAACAAACTGTGTTTATTCTGTGCAAACAAGTTTAAGAAAGAAAGTTATCAAGATGCTACTTAAGCCTCTTTGTCTTATGTTCCAGTGTATTATATATATCTCAAGTACCCAGGATTCAGAATCAGTGTACTAATGTGTTTGGTTGTTATTTAGGAGCTGTTAGAAAAGGCACTGGGTGGTTTAAGGCACAAACTTCAAGGGAGTCGAGCGAGCCCTGCTGAGGCTGAGAGATACCGCAAACAGCAGCGCCTCCTAGAGAAGGAACTCAGTCGCATCAGGTTGCTTCTAGCACACAACTCCAAGGTGAGGTTCTTGATGTGGTACACCTGTGTGAAAGTAACTGATCATTTTAGCAAGATGATATCACACTGAAGTTAACTTTTTACAGCTGAACATAGTGTACGAGGATATCTCAATAGAGGGTACAGTTACAACAACTGGATCTAAATAAAGAGGGTCACAAATGATGGAATGTAGAGCTAAGTTGACAAAATGCAACCTTATATTCAGTTCAGAAAGTGTCCTATCTCCTGTCCAGTTGACTGAATGCCTAAGACACAGGAAGCAGTTATTTTGTCCCAATGCAGTATTTGCATGATTGTGATGAGCTGTTGTTAACTCAGAAGCTCGCAATTTGGCCCTTTCAGAGTCAACTTCCTGATGCCCGTTTGAGCACAACTTATTTTCTTAAGATGTGTATTAACATTATTCACCTGTTTCTATCATACTCTTTCAAATGACCACATTCCAGGAGGATTCACAAACAGTCTGTATGCATTTATTCCCTTATTCAAGTTACATGTCTAGACATTGTGACCTTCATTAAGTAACCATATGTCAGTACTAGGAGAAGGATATAAATCAAGAAATTTCTTAGTGCATAGTGATATCCATCTCCCAAATGACATAGGTCTAATATTTTCTGTTAATGTTTTCCATGTATTCTGATGGTGGCTTAAGTTCACAAACTGCAGTGTAAGACCTTGAATGTGGATATCTCCTAACACTCTCTTATATAGGATGTCTGGATGAAAGGTATCCAAAATAAAATCATATCTCAGAAAGAATTTATTATACACATTAATGGGTTACACCATTACAAAGGGAAACTATCCAAGTTTTTTTCTATGTATATGACTTTCTCAATAAATGTAAATGTGGGCTCCCTTGGTGGTGTGACAGATATCCAGACAATCCAGCATGTTTGGTGTTACCATAGCCACAGCGTCTGTTATGCGGGCTTTCAGGTGTTGAAGGTCATTGATCTTAACCTGGTAGACAATGTTCTTCACATAACCCCACAAGAAGAAATCCACTGGGGTTAAATCTGGTGACTCAGGAGGCCAAGCAATTGGTCCACCTCTGCTAATTCATATCCCAGCCATCTCTCTGTCCCGGTGATAATGTGGCAGTGCTTGTGTATAAGCCAGGCAAAAAAAAAAAACTTTCAGAGTTTTCCTTTCTGATGACATAAACCAGATACATGTATGACAGTTTCCAAGATATAAATTTTTTATTTTGGATACCTTTCATCCGGACACCCTGTATGTAGGTATATGACGTGTGTTAACAGAAACTTGAGGAGACAGTGGCAGAGAATGCTAGGTTGGAACAGGAGCTGGTAGTTCTGCGTCAGAAACTACAGGCTTCACGGCGAGGATCTCAGCAGCGACCTGCTGTATCTCTCATTCCTGACTCAGTGTCAACAAGTACGACAGCGGCTCTTGAGGCAGAGTTGCGTCGAGTGCAGCAGCTTGTTGGGGATCTGCAGAGACAACGCCAGGAGCTGAGCATCCAGGTGCGACATCTGACTGAGAAGTCTCACAGTTTGGTGCAACAGATTCGTCCTGGACCCACAGGAGTTGCAGGTATGTTCTGTTTGAAGACTGGAGTAAGTAGGCATGACCTAGACCTTTCAACCAGATGTGACAGAACGTTCTATCATGATTCAGCAATAAGATAATTGGTATGTTGTTCCACTTATAGTCTGTCGATGTTCCATCCATAATGCGACAGTCAGTAACACTGCTTCACACTATAATCCACACAGTGGTTGTTATGTGCATAAGATGTTATTAAAACTATTAAAATAGGCCTTATTATAAGTTACATGTTTTGGCTATATAAGACCATCTTCAGACAACACTTATGTGAGGAATCCTAATGCACTGAGCACTAATTGAATATCATTCCTTTTTATTACTTTCATTTCGTTTTTGATGTTCTCTTCTTCATATCTCTAACATAGTGCCACTGTTTCTGTATTACACTGGTGTGCTCTTGATCGCATGTATCAAATGTGCCTTTGCATTCACTGTATCACAGCATTATGCAAGACACATGGCACTCACTATACCTGACATTTACTCAATTTTTCTCCATTGCATGTCCTCAGGTAGCAGGTTGAAATCACTTTGTCTTCAGGTTTGTAAAATGGTGCCAAGTAATTTAAAGCATGTAAATATTTTTTTTTTTTGGATGGGGGATTGGTGGAGGGCGTTCTGTATTATGTTCATGCAATATAATATTAGTTTATGATAGAATCATTTATATACAGATATATACATATATGTTAGGTGCAGGTCCTATACCCGGCAGGAAGCGTCACCACAGCACATGGCTGGAGACTGATCTTGACTCACTGGTGACACTTGACCATGGTTTGGATTCACCAGCAAGTCCACAGCATCAGGTATCGCCACCTGGCAGCAAGATTCAGCCAGCTGCTCCACCTGTTGACAGCATAGCCCAGGCTCCTCTGTATGTCAACAGTGATGCAAGTTCCAAGCGAACAGGTAACTATCCAAGTCCCAGGATAATAGCAAATACCAGAGGTTATGTTCGATACATGAGAGCTCCACGTAGAGAAATTAACAAAATGAAGGTTAAGAGGCATGCTCCCACATCTGATTCCAGTGAAGATACTGTGACTGTGGGAAAGCTACGTACTTTAGAGGAGACTGTTTGTGTGCAATATATGAAGTGTCCATTTACTTCCATTTGTCAGAATTGCGCTATATATGAAAAGCACTTAATACGTATTCTTAACATGTCATGTTTGCCACAAAACACACTTTCAGCTACATAGCAAAACTACTGTCTCAGTTTGAAGGCAGCGAATTCTTTATTTTATCATGTATGTAGTACAGTGATCACGAAAAATATCAAGCTCAAGACTTAGATGGATTTACTCATTTTTAGGGTCCCTGATTTCTGAAAGTAGTTTTTGGAATATCTCTTTGTATATATGTACACCTTGGTGATGCCTGAACAGTTGGACAGACTTTATTCATGTTATACATTTAACAATTTATGTGTCATTGGTCAGTGCCCAGTGAATATGTACATTACAGCTCTAAAAACACAAAATTCTAAACAAAAAAATTATTTTCTTGATAATTATGTTGATGAAATTTCATTACTTTATGGAGACCATGTCTCCATATAAAACTGCGCAGGTGATGTCTTTAAGAAAGGAACCATAGGCCCTCTAGCAGCCCAAATGCAAAATGTCAGTCTTCTTGAAAATGACTTCAACAGAACTAAATTTTAATTATTGGTAGAGAAAACATTTTTGGATAAAAAAGGCTATGGTCCATCAAGTGTGTATGAGAAAGTACATGCAATGTCCTTGGACTTATCTTCCTTTTAGTTTTCTTTTTTGTTTAATTTCTGGGTTTCTTGCTTACGGATGTAGAGTAATGGTGTTTATGTTCTTACACTTCAGTGACATCAAAGTACAGAAACAAACCATATTTGCACCTGGGTGGGTGAGGGGCCTGGAGTTACAAGGTATGGGCTTCCTCTGTCACCACTAAAATGCAAGCAGAGTCTGACAGAATCTGACTTTCAGAATGTGTTCAACAGCACCAGAACCCCATCATAATTTATTATCAGCCATTATTCCCATCATCCTATCATTAAGAGGAGAAGATTCTCTGTCACAGTTGCTTTTGTCCTAAAGGTGGATTATTTTATCTCACCTAAACAAGAAAAATGTCTGAAATGTCATTAAAGACTGTACCAGGAGACATATCGGACAAACAAAAAAAACATGTTAGATTTGATTTTGTCACCATGGTGAGTAAGAATAGTATTACCTGCTGCAATGCAGTAGTGTATATTGTGGTGTAAGTTCACTGAAGTTTCAGAGTAACTTATTGCCTACATTTTCAGTGTCAGATCATGTGCAAACAAGCAGCAAGCTGTTTGATCCTGACTTTGGAGGCAGTGCATTCCTCCAAAATAGTGGCAAACATATGCTACACTATATGTCATTACATCTCAGAAGAGAATATTTTTCAGACAAGTAGCATTTTTGTATAGTTAATTATAGGAGTGTCAGTTATATTTTCAGGTTCAGTGATGCAGTTTTCTTTTAAGTCCATTATGGTTCGGTGACTACAATATTGATTTTATTTACTTAGAGATATGGGATAGCGGCCTCCGTAGTCTAGAGGTAACGTTCCCACCTCATGACTCGTGGTACGCGGGTTCAAATACCCGGTGGAGGTCGTCGAATTTTTAAGGGTGGAAAAATTCAGGGAACAAGTCCTCCGGGAGGGACTTTAAGCTGTGTGTCCCGTGTCGTAACTTTACGGCACGTAAAAGAACCTCATATCTCCAAAGGAGATCACTGAGCCAAATTCCAGGACGTTTCCCTCCCAACAATAGTCTCTAAGGCCTCTGATAAATGGGGGAAGCATTATAGACACCGCTAAGCAAGTGGCCGAACTCGCTTGCTCGGCGGGACTGATGGTACGCACCATTTTATTGGTAGGGTATAGAGACTGGTAGAATATCACAGAGGGAAGCACAATGGACCAATACAGGTCTCAGTGCATGGGGAAACCCACCCTCTCCAATAACTAACTAGCTAGAGATATGGGATGACTTTTAGTGGGGATTTATTTAGGAGTTGATGTTAGGGAATAACTGCAATCAAATCTTTGCTCATTGCACTGATTTTGTTATGCTATGACTGTTTGTCATGTCTGCTTTCGTGATCCAAATAACAGCTCTATTATAAACTGCATAGATTGTGTATCCTCAAAGCTCTAATGGTGGCTTGTACATGCCATATTGTTTACTAAACATTTTAAATTTGGATTTTATTTTCAGAGTAACTTCCTAATTAAGAGAGAGACTTTAATTTTTCATTCAAATTTCCTTTAACTCTTTGACTGGCGCGGGCGTGTTTTAACGCCCGGACGATGCCAGCCGTTCCCTGGCATTGGCGTGTTTTAATGCTTTGACAATCTCTTCCCTTCTTTGCTCTCTTGGCACTCATCAACCAAAGACATATATATGATAGTTTTTGTGCATGTTTGTAAAGAACCCTTGTAAACTTTGTGGGGGTCTATATTACTGTCAGAACCCTCTGAGAAGGAAAAGGTCAGAAAATATTTCACATTCATTCAGTTTCACCATGGCTTCTTTCAGCAAGTGTCTTGTGTGCAGGCTGTGGTGTGGCTCTCTGCAAACTTTCATGTTTCAATGTTTATCACACGAAGAAAAACTAATAAAGAGGTATGGAAACGCATTTATTGCATAAAATATTGTCTTTTAATTAGTTCCTGAAAATTTCGTTTTTAAAAACCAATTTTTGTTGAAGTTGTTTAGGAAAAAGTAACTACATGCATTTTAGCGACATAAGGTTTAAAGGGCCTGCCAGGACAGGGGTGGGATTTAAATACCCTTCGCGCCAGTCAAAGAGTTAATGCATGCTGTGAGATGTGGTTTTCATTTATGAGGACTATTTGGAAAGTAACCTCAGGTGAGCTGATACAAAACAACTTGCTCATTCATTTCTGCTTCTAATGTAACCTGAAACTTTGTTCACAATGTCCATATCCGTGGATGCCGGAAAGGGAAAATAACGCAAAATGAAGAGCAAATTTTTATTCTTAAACAAACATATTTTATGTAATATTTGAGGTTTTCATGGCCGTGACTATGAAGAAAGCAGTCTTCTGGGATATGGCACCATATAGATGTGGTGTTAACTGACGTTTCAGAGGAACGTATCGCCTCCATGCTTATCTGCTTGCACCGGTTCTCACGGTCTCTTTGCTTGCGGATTTTCTTATTTTTCCTTCTACCCTGAAGTTGGAGGCGATATGTTCCTCCGAAACGTCGGTTAACACCACATCTACACTGTGCCACATCCCAGAAGACTACTTTCTTCAAACACATCTTAGTGTGAAGAGCGATATGCAGTAACGTGGAATACAGTTGCCTGAAGATGGCCAAGTGGGGCCAAAACATGTAGCAATTGTTGTGATTTCAATGTTCTTTTTAAATAAAGGAGAGATTGTGAACAAAGTTTCATGTTGCATTAGAGATGGAAATGAATGAGTGAGTGATACATCAATGCAACAGGATGCTCAAATATAATATTAACAAAAGTAGCAAAAACATTATTATTTACAAAAAAATACATAGTTAAGCTGCTTCTCAATGAAATCATTGCCAGAATTGAGGCACCTGTCATATTGAGGAAAGAGTTTTTGTATGCCTGTGTCAAAGAAGTCTGCCACCTGTGAGTTCAGCAAGGTTTTGTATTGCAAAACACTAAAAACAAAATGCATAGGGCCATTCAGAACAAAAGCTGTGGAATGCTGATATAAGTGTAGTGCTCCTCCACGACAATGCGCATCTGCATACAGCTGCTTTCATTCAGGCACTGCTGGAGTGTTTCAACTGGGTGTTGTTTGACTTGATCTTGCTCTAAGCCACTACCATCTGCATACCTGGTTGGGATCACAGTGCTTCAACAGTAATCAGGAGTTGATGGAAGGCATCAAAACATGGCTGAGGTCACAGGTGCAGATTTCTTTGACACAGATTTAAAGAAACTTATTCCCCAATGTGGCAAGCACTTCATTTCCAGCGGTGATTGCATTGAGAAGTAGCTTAAGTATGTACGTATTTTTTGTCATTGCTTGTTTTATTAACAGCCCATTGGATGTTAGTTTCCAAATAGCCCTCGTATTTTAATCAGAGAAACAGGACATCAGCCTTTGTATAGTTTTACATATGACTAATGTGTGTAAACTTTTGTGTTTAAGAACTCAACACATTTTGTGCTTTTGATATTAAATTAGTGGAGCATTTGGAAGTATTTAAAAATAAAGGTATTTTATCTTGTAACTTATTAAAACGTAAGCTTTCAGCATTAAAGATGCATGGAAACCGATATTTTGCATGTGACTATGTGTAAAGTAACCTACTGATGGCTACATCTGAGATGGATTAAATAAAATTCTTAAGGTACTGATGTGTACATACCCTAATGTCCTTACACTTCTATTCTGGGTACAGTGAAACTTGTTTATGAAAGGGGAGAAACAATGGATTTTATCTCTTGGAAACATGATAAAGAAACACAGACTTGTTCCATGCACATGTTATCCATATACTGTTTTAAACATGTTTGCAGTTCTGCAGAGCACCTGTTAAATTTACTTTGTGTGTGTGCATGCGCGTATGTGAATGTACACACTATAAATAAATATATTGGAGAATTTTATGAAAAATCATTACTTCATTTTAGATTTCATTTAGACTGGATGAATTTTCTGACCGCTTAATATGAAGACATGCATACATTCTGCAGGTGGTTTGAGCGTAATTCACATTCTCCAAGTAACTTGAACATAAGTTGCTCAATATTTATTGGAGTTAAGAGTGCTTTGAACAAAAGCTATACTGGAAGATTATATACACATATTTGATACACCTTCTGTCAGCCTTGTGGTTTTTGATGAAATTACCTTGGAAGCTGGCCATAAATTTTGAGTTTCCATGAAATATCTGGATTACTCATGTCTTTCTAATTATTCACCCATCTTTCCCCCCTTCATTATCATTGATTATTGAGAGTCTACTGTATTTGCAAAAGTAAGAATCATAATATTGAATCTGTGATATTAGACGCTAAAATTATGACTCAGTCCCATATTCATTGCACTGGAATATGTTCAGTTTAAAAGTAACATCAAAATCTTATATTCTCTTCCAATAAAAATGTAATAGTGATGGGGCTCCTGTGCTTCATTAAATACTGCATCATGAAGGTGTACAAAAGAGTGGAGCTATAGCTCCATGCTTTTGTTGCTTTATCTCCAAGGAAAGAGCCTCCTTTGGTTTTCAGTAGTGCCTTGAACACTGGATATTTGAAATTGAAAATTTGAAATTATTGTTGAATTAGGGCTTGCAAAGATATCTTTAAATGACAGTCTTATATGACCAATATTTTATTATTTGAAATGAAAGAAATATGTTTGACTAAACTGTTATTTGACAATGATATGTCAAGTGCTGATGTTATATATCAAGTGTTCATGTGTATATGATATTGTATTATAAATACTTGATGATGTTGGCACTAGTAAAGCAATCTGCATTGATTGGGGACTAGAATTAATTGAAGGTGATATCTTCTGAATTGTATTTTGTACAAGTTAATGAATGAAAGTACTTTGTTTGTGAAGATCAGTGTAAGGTGAATATGGAACCAACACCTTTCTGCTGATGTGTATTCCCTTCCAGTTAGCATCACTGTTGACGGTGTACATATGGTAGAGAAAGTGGTAAATGACATTAGAGTCTTCCCTTACTGCAGCTTTGCCAAGCAGTCCTTCATGATGTGATCAGGTGCTGAAACTGCATGAGAAATACTGATTTGAAATGAGACTCTTAAGAGCCAAACTTTGAAAATGGGAAATTCATATGTTACAAGTTTCACTGCATCAAATATAACCTACTTCTTTGTTCATGATACAGCTGACCAAAACATCTACAAAGGTTCTCTTGTGGACGGTGAAGATCTCATCCCCCCTCCACTCCCAGCACCTCCAGAACTGCCCCCAGATTATCCACCCCCACCTCCCCCACCACCATCAGAGGAGGCCGTGATGAATGGTGGAATTGGACAGCAATGCTGCACGCATATGGACATCAGTGAGGCAGATGATCGCATGAAAAGGTTTTATGGTATGCTTAACATTTATTATGAACCTAAATATATGAGAAAAAGGGAAATAAGGACTTTTGATGAGTAAAAACGAATGCATTATATTATTTATATGCAATTTGCAGTCTCTAAGTGGTTTCTTGGATTTATGGAAATAAATTTCTCGTGTTGGTGCATTTAATTACATTCTCCATCATAAGAAGTATTTTCCTATTAAATATTAAATCTGAAATTAAAGTAAGTACTAGTCACATGTAGTTACTACCAGCAGGAGTACTTGCATGTGACATTTACAGTATGGGTACCTAGGAAAAATGTGCTGAAGATTTCCTTAAAGTATATTTTTCAGCCAAGAAAGGTCCACATATCAACCTAGCCACATGCTAGATTATTTTATTTTATTTTGTCTTGATCTGTAAGCATGTTTTTAATTGCTAAGATTACATAATATTGAAACTTCTTGTTTTGATCTATTGCAAAGAAAAGGAGATAATTCTGAGGCTGTAATTTCCACTGTATCTCATTGAATAAGGCAGCAGAAATATGTTTCAAATCATAGTTAACATACTCATACTGTTTTAATTTCCTTTTATAATTTGTAAGAGCATGACTCTTAAGTGTCCTTATTCATTGACGTTATACAGGTGTTGGTACAGTATTGTAGTAGGATCAGTGGACCAATCAAATCGGTTAAAACAATAATACTTCTTAGTTTTACTCTGGAGGTACCCAGTTCAGATTTCAGCTGGAACACTGACTATTCTGAGTGAGGTTTTTTAGGTTTTTCTCAGTCCTTCCAGGCAAATGCTGAGACAATAGCTCAAGCTAGGCACATCCACTTCCTTCCATATCCTTTCTAATTCAGTATTTATTATCATCCTATCATTTGATGCTGTATTGTCTGAGCTACTGACTGCATCATTGAATGAACAACAAATAAAGTAAATAGACCTGTGGCTAAGAGAATCATATTAAAATATATCACTGTTCTTTTCTTGTTTATATACAAACCAAACTATTTTCTTTTGTCCCATTTGTTTCTGAATTTCCTCTTGTGGCATTCAGTCAGTATTTTTCAGTAATAAAGTGAGAATTGTCTGCCCCAGTATTTGCAAAACATTTACTTTCTCTCGTCGAAAGTCTTCTTGGTATGTGTGTAATTGATGTCAGTTTACAATTAACGGCCTCTTTCTTCCCCCTGTCTGGTTCTCCTTAACAGTTTCAGACTTGCAGCTCGAAACTTAAATTTCAGACTTAACCAGTTCACCTTGAACAGCTTCTTCAGATAGTTCAGGGTTCTAGCAGCATTTTCTGGCACTGTCCGCTAAACCTTCTAAAACCTCCAATAACCAGAGCTCTCATATTTGAATTCAACAAGGCAGTGGAGGTGTTGGATTCTGATAAAATGTTAATTCAGTTGTTCATAGAGTTTATGAAAGCTCTGGTAGCTCAAATTATGATTCTTAAAGACAAATTTTATGATGCCCTGGCGGCTTGAGTTGTAACTCTTGTTGATCTATGGAAATATATTAATTTTTAATAATTTAAATGTTTGATACTGTAATATTTGAGGTCATTTAATTTGTTTTATAATAACAAGAGTAGAATTACAGTGTAATAGGGGTTAAAATAATGAAAAATAGGTCTGAGCCTTGAGCCTGTGCTTTCCATGTTATAATGAACTCCATTTATAGCTGATTTTTCAGGAATGCATTAAGTCATAGATGTGAGGTATGATTGTACTAGGAAGAAATTGGTCTAGTAGCACAAAGCACAAGTACAGTGAATGGAATGGACAGAGTGCTAATGCTCCATCTCTGTCTTTTCTGTGAAGACTAAGAAGAACAAAGAAAAAAGATATTTTAGCCAGTGAAGTCAAACCCTGGACATGGGTATTATTAACTACACTGTGTTGTAGATTTGTCTCTGATGCTGCAAGGTGCATCTATATGCCATTCTTCCTTCCTTTTACCTGAAATATCTTAGTCCTGTCTCACTCACTCACAGCCTTCCTATGATCCATATATGGTTGCCCTTGTTTATGCAGAAGTATCTAAATTCATCTGTTACATTGTGCAGTAAAACATTCAGTTTGTATGGGGGTCAGAGTCATTAGTGGCTGTAAATTAACTAGTTAAGAGCCAAGGTTCTAATTTAGACAGCTGTGGGACAAGAGACAGCCAATGAAAGCGGTAGATCTAATAGTCATAATTGTTCCATTTAGAACATGAGGTACAGGCTGTATTTCATAGCTGCGGTATGGATCATTTTATAACAGTTTCTTATATCGAATGAAGCAGTTGCAATTGAGTGCTGGTAAGCCAATGCTACAAATTCCTCTAGATGGTAGCAATGTTTGTTTGACTGCATAAGAATTTAATAATTTGCTGTTATTTTTCTATAATGAAAAGTACTGGAAATCAGACATGTCTGGGGTGGGAAGCCATTTATTTTATGTTGCTTTGACAAAAAATTAATATTAAAAATATTTAAAAAAACAATATATTGTTCTTTGGAAGTACAGTGGAACCCTCATTTAATGTTCCTCAGATTAAGATTTTTTTCCTCCTCATTTAACACCAAGTTTCAGTGATGTCAAGTTAGTAATCTCAGGGTTAAGTTCCCTCCAGTTAAAATTTTCCTCAGTTTGGCATCAAAATTCACTGATCCTGGAAGAAACTTTAAATAGGAGTTCCGTTGTATATACAAGGATAAAAATTGAACTGGGAATTTTTGGTGAAATAACTTCAGATATAATTCATAAGACACCTCTTTTTGTGTTTTGTGATCAACATATAATGTGCTGTTATACCAGCCTAAAAGATATTCTAATAATTTGTGTTAGGTAACGTATAAGGCGAGAACATTATTTTAAATACAGTCTGATCCTCATGAGTTAAATGAAGGTGTTGGTGGGAGGTAATGTATTGAAAAATCACAAAATGATATATGGGTAATACTTCAATTCTTAGTGATGAAAAAGAAATCAGCCTGCTTTGTACCAGCCAGTATTCATCCAGTTGTCAGAATTTTGATATTAATTCCATCCATGCAGTACAAATATACAATTTGTGTTCCTTAAATGTTGAGTTCATATGTAAGACATTCGGTTTTTAAATTTTATTTTTGTTTTGTGGAATTGTTATAAACGGAAGGAAAACGTAGCTCAGTACCCGCAGCTTTTGTGTTACATTCCCAAAGATGTAAAAGAATTTTGGGCTAGAAAACTGTCTACTCATATACACAGATCCTTGGTGTTGAAGCCCACTGATGGGTTAGAAGGCAGCGTTGTGGTCTTTTGTCAGTAGTTTATGTGAATTGTACATGCCACACACAAGTGGAAAATTTTGATTTGTGTAGTTTTCAAGTTATGTGACAGCCAGGACAGCTGAGCCAGTGTAGAGACTAGGCTACAGGTTGGATGACCAAGGAATCAGGGTTTGATTCCCGGTAGGACTAAGATTTTCTTCTACAGTGTCCAGACTGTCTCTGGGATCCACATAGGCTCATATCAAATGCACACCAGGGCCTGTGTCCCTTGGGGTTAAATGACTAGGTTCTGGAACTGATGACTCACTTCCATCTAGTACTGAGATTAAGAATGTGTGGAACTGTACCGCCAGTCCCCAATATGTCCTTATAGCATGATGATTAATTAAGCACAAGGATAGCTTTACCCTTTACCCAGTTACATACACATAGGAGATGGTATTTGCTGATGGTATTCTTAGATTCAGGATTGTGTCTTCTCTCGGAAGAGATATTCTGACTGTAGAATGTTCCATGTCCACATGAAAAACTAAAATGTGTGTTTGTGTGTACTCTACATCACATTCTGGTGCACTGCTGTGAGAGTTTGATTTTGTCTCCGCTGGCAAGAATATTTATATTTACGTGTCATATACTTTAAATGCTTAAAATAGTGCTTATTGTGGAAGTCATCCCTCCTTGTGCCTGTATGTTTCAAGTCTGAAACAGTGCAACAGATTTTGATAAAATCAGGTATTACTGTATAGTATGTTTACATTCAGAAGTTGTTAGTTGAGTTTAATCTGATCAGTACTGGAGGGGTATATTCCCCACTACATAATGTTAGTAAAATATTTAATGTAAGAATAGCTGAAGATGTTTTGTTAACATGACACTGTACATCATTTGATCATTGTTTTGTGCTTAATGTATGACACTGTACATGATTTGATCATTGTTCTGTGTTTAATGAATTATCTTTTAAGGTATTATACCACGCGAGAAACAACAGGAAATCAAAACAGTTCGCATTGTAAAACGAGAATCAGAAAGACGGCAAAGAGATCGAGACAGGAGTGGAAACATAGGCATCCCTGTTACCAACGGGACAGCCGGTGGTAAACGAGTGACAATTGTGGAAGATGGAGACATTGCAACTTCCCAGTACCCAGTAGAGGTGAATTACACTTAAATTCCCATAAAAGACAAAAGATATCTTCCCATAACTTGACCATTGTAGTAGCAGAGATTCTGCAATTAAATAAGTTATCTTTCATATAATTGTAAATTGAGGTAGGAAATTTCACTGAGCGTAGTGACTTTGTGAACCAGAGCCACAAATATTCTTTACCAATTTATNTTTGACCAATGTAGTAGCAGAGATTCTGCAATTAAATAAGATATCTTTCATATAATTGTAAATTGGTGTAGGAAATTGAGGTAGGAAATTTCACTGAGCATAGTGACTTTGTGAACCAGAGCCACAAATATTCTTTACCAATTTATCCAGGCCTTGGGCCCTTGCAACCTCTTGTTTAGTGTGGATACCAAGGATGCTCCCCAGATATAATACAGTAGGGGTGTTAAAATGGCCACTGAACCTCCATCTACTGCAAAGGTTAAGAATACATGGAGCTATACCTCCATTTTCCCCATAAGACTTCATCGCACTGTGCTGAGATAAGCACAAACACAACTTCACCTTGGAAGAATACCATCTTCTGGGATGTAATGCCATATAGTCTGGCAGAAATCCCCTGATGTTTCAGAAGAATGTATTGCCCCAATCTGTGATGCTGAAAAGAGTAAGTCAAGCCTCTAACAGAGATCTCTGCTCACTCTTTGACCCTGAAGATTAATTTTTTACAAGACTATACAGCATCACATCCCAGAAAATGGTTTTCTTCACAGGCACTGCCTTGAGAACCTCAAGTTTCACAACTGTACCTTTATCATTATAAATTATTGTTTGGTTAATGGGGAAAAATCATATCTGCAGTGCCTCTTGATGACTATTAACACATTAGAACAGCCAGACCAATATACATTTTGGCATGAAGGCAGTTTCCTGCCTCTTAAGTCTCCACAAGTCACAGGTATTGCAGAAAAATGAGTTTCTGCATCATGCATGCTTTGAAAGTTTGTTAATTCTGAATATATATATATATATATATATGTTAGTAACTGACTAACCTATGGGAAAGCTGATACATGAGACACCATGATCCTGATAGCATTGAACAGAATTAAGAGAAATGTAAAGACCAACTCTATGGAGTGAAGTCCTTGAAAAGGTGGTATTCATTCAGTTGGGGAACAAATTTGCAGACTTACAAGGGTTGCAGAGTTTCAGTATTGTGCCCACAGGAACCACTGGACTCTATCTTGTTCTGGATGAGTTCACACTATCTTTATACCATATTTCTGTAACCTATCCTGTGTTATTTATGATACATTCTGTAATTGGTGTTTTGCATATTTTTCTGACATACAAGTATTCCAGTGGTGCTTTCCTGACTCTCGGTGTATATACATGTTGTTTCACAATTTTGTGGCATAACATCAGGAGGCGGGAGGGAACAAAGTTTCATGTAGAAACAAATATATGAACCTGTATTTAATAAGTTCCTTTATAATAAATATTGGTCATTTCCCCAGACTTTTATACTGATCTGAAGTATGTACATAACTTTTTGATGCAACTTTTTCTGGCCCCAGGTGTAATGAAAATGAGATCTGAATTTATTATTTTTGTGAGTGAAGATTCTTTTCTGGGATGCTATGCCATGTAGCCTGGTAGATGGTTACCAGCACCCATCCCTCCAGAAGATGTAGGTTGCAAGTTGCCAAAAATGTAGTAGTGATGATCTATCAGGCTACACAGCATCACGTCCCATAGGACGGTATTCTCTAACCTGTCTGTTCCTGATTATTACCATGAAGACCGTGGATCAGAGGACTGCAAGTTTTATATTTTTATAGTCAGAAATTAATAAAAAAATGTTCCCTGATCACTCACTGTTGATAATTTATATTGTCCTTTCTCTCCCAGTAATTTTAAATTTATGCAGAATATAAGAACTTTGTTAGATAATTTTGCTCATGTTGGAAGGTCTTACTGATGACCAATATTTGGGTGCTCCAGGAAGAGCTTGACATTTACTGTGTTATAGACATTGTAAATTTTTCTAAGTTAATGTACCTCTTTTAGAAACAGCAGCTGGGTTGTGTATTGGAAGAGGAACCTCAGGACAAGCAGTTCTCAGAAGAACTGATGGCACAAGAAGAAGACCCAGTGTTGGCACAGTTCCAACGTTCCATGTCACTCCCACGAGGGTTTGGGAAGCGAGAACACTTAGGTTACCAGCAGCAGCAAGTAGTGCCGCCATTACCACCCGTTCGTGTACCATCTCCCCGCAGTGATAGTGTTACTGTTCTCAGGAACCTCATGATTAACCGTCATCGAGTGCGGGTGAGTACTTCTCACCCAACAGTTGTTTGCAATGACTTTCTTGTGAATCCAGTATCCATTCCTTTTGCACAGTTCACTGTATACCATATGTCATAAGGTAGTCAGAACTACCAACTAAAATGTTGTTACCATGGTAATACAAGAAGGAAACAACAAAGTTTTCATGTTTCTCTTCTGCTGGAAGTTAACCCTGCAAGAGTTAACCTCTCAGTTCATTTGAACATAATGGAGTAATGTCAGCGTAGCATTAGGGATTTTATAAAATAAGGTCATGATATTACTTTAAAATCAGCAGTTCAGAAACTTCTAAAGTGGCCCATACACGTACGAGTCTGGCTCGCGAGTCCAACTCAGCTCGGATTCTAATGAACCAAACTCGTCCGTGTGTGGGTCTCAAAGTTGGGAGTCAGATCATGCATTTGTGGTGAAATTAATCCAAGTCAAGCTCACTGAGCCAGACTTGTATGTGTATGGGCCCCTTAATTATTGACTAACATTGGACATAAAATTTCCATATGGATATTAGCACCTTGCAGAAATTCCTTTTCATGGTTTGAATTATTTTGTTCCACAATTTTTTACTTTCGTTTGTTTTTGCATGATGTCCTGTGTTTTATTAGCGTCCTTTGGAATGTTTTATTTTACTTTTTCCTGCCCTGATATGCATTGCACAGTTTGAAAGCTACAGTGGTGGTAGCAGTAGTAGCGCCGAGAGCACAAGCAGTCAGAGAGCTGTAAGCCCAAGCTTGAATCCCAGTCGCTCATTGACAGCTCATGAGCTGCTGTTTGGGGTGAGCCATGATGAACCTATCTCACACCATTATGCCATCACTAGCCCTGGGAGTTCTGATGTTTCACCTCAGTTATCGCCGGTGTTTAAGAGTGAGGCTGCCCGTGCAATTGTCATGGAGATGTCTTCTATGAGAGATTCAGCAGGACACAACATCGAACATCAGCCTCGCAGACGAGCTGTTCCGAAAGAAAAACGCAGACATCATACTGTGTCAAGTAGCCAACCTCTGCTTGGCATTGAAACTACTGCATCTCCAATCATGGTACATTATAAGGCTTGTCACTTTCTGCTAATGGCACAATTCTCAACTCTTCATCTGAAACTTCATAAAACATTGCTTTTATATAATATTTTCCAACTGCTTGGCTATCTGTCTATTATCATGGGAATTGTTATCTTGCTTTAAAATTCTGTTTGAGTGCATTGGAATGGGTTGTACTGAAAATAAGCATTTTGGACCCCAGTGGGAATAATGTATGTCCAGGCAAGCATATACAGGGTGTCCCAGGAGGAATGGACCAAACTTCGGGAGGGTGTTCCTTATGTTAAAGTATGCCGATATAACCCAAAACACCTATGTCCAAAGTTGAACGGTTACGGAGATAATGGCCAGAGAAGTGTCAAACTTTGACCGGTGTTACACACTTGTTGATTACAAAATACATATTAAAACTGGCAGGAATATGTGGATTCTNTTGGAGAGATGCAGTTTGAAATATAATGAAGTTTTTAACCAGATTGAAGATAAATTATATTTAAGAAATTCTGTTTCAGTTACTAGTTTAGTGCCATCAATGTCAGATATACACTTGTTTTCCACTGTTTTGAATCGTTTTCTGTTACCTTGAATGAAGAACATCTCAAAAGCAGAACCTGAGGGAGATATTTATCTCTGAGAAAGATAAACAAGTGATGAATGTTGGAATATATATATATATATATATATATATATATATAGTATATAAGTATGCTGTACAGGGGAATGATTTCTGCAAAATATCACAGTGTATCATATGGTTTCTCATTTGACAAAATTTTGACATAACTGTACTAGACAATAATTACCATATTGTGACAGAATAATCCATTGCCAGGCAACGACTCGGTAAACACTGCCTAAATTCTGGAATAGCTGGTGACTGTTTTTGCTTGTTAGGTGTTCATTTTATGTTGCATGGCTTTAATTTCTGCTTGGTTGGCATCCATTTTTGCATCTTCCACTTTTTTTTTCTCTCGTTTCTTCCAGCAAGCATGCCATCATTTGTTCCACTTTCTTAGTGTGGTCATACAGTGATCAAAATCTAATGCAGTGTTCAATCCAACTACTTCTGACACCAGTTTGTCATGATTTAGAATGACTGTAGACATGGTTTGGTTTGCTGAATTTGATTTATTGACCACCTGCAGGTCGTAACTACAAATAGCTATAACACTATTCCTGATTTCCAAACTACAAATCACCAGCACACACCAAGTCTTCTCAATCTTCACTAGTCTTTGCTTGGTGACAGGTCTTAACAATGAAGATTTGTTCAGCTTCCATGGTCAGGCTATAGCTCACTGTTAACACTCCACACCTAAACTCTCAACTGTTAACTTAACTATAGCACCATCTGTTCTCAGCCTTCCTTGCAGAGCTTGACTCTCAACAGCCATCCCTCAAGTAACTGGGTCCCAGGCTAGCGGCCTTCTCACACCAACCTCCTAGTCTTCTCTTCAAAGACTGACTTTCTACTGGCAACTGACAACTGAAAACTGAACCCAGTCTTACTATATGCTACAATATTTATTTATTACTCATTGTATATTATTTCTGTTTTCCTTTATGATCCATATATCACCCTTTTGCTGTGAAATTTGTCTTAATCAGTAAGAAGATTTTGGTCTTTACAAAGTGAAGTCGCATGGGCACTAGAAGATCGAAGAATTTAATGTGGGTGCATTTCTGTTGAATGTTTCACCTGTGGAAAAGACACACAGCTCTCGTTGAATTACAGTTATACTAAGACGCAACAGGTTCAAACTGGCCTAGCGCATGAGCTGCTTGGACTATGGTGACAGAAAAATCCCCTCATGCACGATGGGTCTGAGCAAAGTCTCATTGTGCATGCGAATCACTTGCAGGTTATGAATCAGCCAGTTGGTAGGATGTATTTTTAGACTGAACATTTGGTGACTGCTAACAGGGGAGGAAGTCCATTGACATGAAAATTTTTATAATCAGTACTAGAAAAATGAAGTGGAAGTTCCCAGGAAAAACTGAAGTTGAGGGAAAATAAAATTGGTTAAAGTTTAGCATTACTGTTATGAGCAATTGGCTGGGACCATGCAAGAGACGTGTAAACCTATGAAAAATGTAAAATCCAGGGTCACGAATTGTAAGTTTCATCGCGTTTTGTTGTCAAAAGTCACCCTTTACTTTTATTTTTATTTCTTGATTCATTTGAAGCCTTGCAGCAACAGTACTTTCTCTGCAATATGTTCGTTATGAATAGAGTTTCCACCCCATACCCTGACCCCTTCCTATGTTGACAGCAACAGAAGCACAACATGGGGTAAATCAACAGTGGACCCTTAAGCTCAAGTTCAGCATGTTCCACTTCCAATTTCAGAATGTAAACATTGCAGCCTATAATAACAGTTAATTATTTATGTTAATTATATTAAAAAAACTCCAGACTCCAGTGGAGTTTCAGACCTCACTTAAGATCTCTGTGGTAAAAACTAGGATCTGTTAAAATATTTGTTGTATTTCCCAGTTTTTGTATGTGTTCTGCATTTTTGATCTGTCATGTATTTGCAGGGCTCAGCAAGGTCACGGGATGATCTTGATATGGAGCGAGCACTGCGGCCTCGACTCAATGCCCCTGATGTTGTCAGGTCCACAATGAGCCACAAAGACTTCAAGTACAATGAGAACACAATTGACAGCATTCTGGGGACACCCAACAAGATTGTTATACCTGAACGTTACATTCCAGAACAGGTGAGTCACTTCCATCTTGGCACTTTGATAATGTCTCCAGGCCACAGCTGCCCATGCTTTATGTCTCTACAGGCTGAAAATCCTTTAAGGCTCTTTCTGTGAGATGCTGAAATTTATTCTGAAAGAAAATGGTTTTCTTGTTCTCTGGGCATGACTGAGAAGCCAGGTTGTAACTAGGAACCTTCTTGGCATATTTTTATAGTGTTTAGGTATCCATGTTTTGTGAAAAGCAGTGAACTCTATGTTGCAGGCCCCAGAACTTTCTGCAGAAGAACAGATGCACCGACTTAAGAAGGCAGAAGCCATTAGGAAGATGCTGTCAGAAACAACTTCCATTACTACATCAGATTCCAAAGGTTATTATCATTCCTGATAATAGACAAAGGAATGTTAATTGCTTTTTTTATGTGTGAGACTTGTGGAGGGACTGACATTGTGATTCAGAAATGAGTTGGCAAGATGGAGCCATCTGAAATACTTTTGTACGTTCTTTTATAAAATTTCACATCGAACATATTTTTGTATAACTGAAACACGCTTTTAGAAATCAAATCAGTGTGTTTAATTAATGTATTCATGGTAGCATGTTACACTTCTGCTTTTCATGCCCTCCCACTGGATGGCAGGAATCCAAGAAGCTAAAATTTATGTCACAATGTCAGATCAGAAAATTGACGTTAAATGAAACTGCTTTGCATTCCTTGGATCCAGAGTTAGTCAAAATGACTGTAGGATGTGGAATATGTCACATAAATACAAAGACAGAATGTACGGTACAACTGAAGTTTTCACACAAGAAAACACAGAGGTTACGCATGAGGCTATTCAAAAATACATATATACACCAATACTGTCAACTTATTGTACACAGCCTATAAATGGTTGAGTCACTTTTTAGATAAGTATTCATCAGCAGAGTAAAATGGGTGTGTGTTTAAGAATTGTTTTAGTGTTATTTTAAACTGTGCTTTTTCATTCATAAGACTTTTGAGATCAGATGGCAGATAACTGAAAAGTTTGATCCCAGCATAATATGCGCTTTTCTGGAAGTGCATGAGGTTAGCAGTTTGTTTAAGGAGATAGTGCTTATATCTTGTGTTAACACTGGGTACATCTGCATTGGTCTGAAAACGTTCATTGTTATTTATAATGGAGTTTATTAGCAAAAATATATATTCACATGGAAGTATTAACATATGTAGTCTTTAAATAGAACTCTTCAAGAATTATGGTATTTGACACCCATCATAAGTTTAAGAGTTTTCTTTTGCTTGTAAATACCTTTTTGCTCTCAGATGAATTACCCCAGATAATTATTCCATAGTTCATTAAAGAGTGAAAGTAAGCAAAATAAATTGATTTGATAGTGTCAGTGTTGCTGATATGGAACATAGATCTAACTGCATAACATGGAGTCAACTGATCAATATGTTTAGGTCAGTTTAAATGATTATCAATTTGTAAGTGAAGGAATTTTGTGTTTACCGCCCCTTCTATAAGAGTATATCTATCATTATATCCAGTGTTCAATGAGTATTGTGGTGAGTTCTTTGTTATAAATTTTGTCACATTTGTTTTATCTAGAATCAGGGACAGCTTGTTTGCAAAAAAACCATGTTCTCATTTGAGAGAGAACTTTGTTTTGTAGTATGCAGAAATCAGACACTTGCAGAACTTTCTGTGCAGTGGGCTGAAGTAAAGAAGGGGAACTGCTGCCAGTTTTATATACTTACTGACTAAGGAACTTTTGGTTTCAGTTCTTGATGAGATATAATGTCTTGTATTTTCAGTTCCAGTCCATTTTTATTTCCATTATATTTCTTGTGTTGGTTCAAATGATTTACTGTGGATATTTATGTTGTATTTTCCAACAGAGAAAGAAGAAGAGGAGCAGACATCAACACTGAAAAAGAAAGTTGCAGCAGAAAAAAAAGAAAGGGAACATTTGCTTCAGCTGAACCAAATCCTGGCAAAACAGGTGATGGAGAAGAGCAAAATGGTGGCTGGTAAGTATGGTAGTGAGTCATGTCTGTATGTTAGTGTAGGCCACATGGGTACATTTATGTTGCCTGTTTTAAAGTTGGGACTGTGTGATGCATTGATGTTGCAAGTGGAAAGATTGTGAGTAGCAAACCCATTGATAAACAGGGAACATGTCCAGAGACTGAGAACAAATTGATCTGTGTTACTATGGCTTAGTTTAGGGTTTTCCTAGTGTGCAGTAAGCACTCAGAAGGCAAAGGAATTGTCAAATAGACAGGCTGTATTTCATCAGTCATCTTATCAAGAAAAATGTATTCTCACCATAGCAAAAGTGTAGCTTCTTTTTGTTTCCAAGAAGTATATTTTTGCATGGCTGATCACAGTGGCCACATGGTCTCAGGCCTGAACTGTCTTTGCCCATTCGAAAACTGGAATCATGGGTTTGAATCCCTCTTGAGACATTGATGTCTGTGTTTGTGCTGTCCTTGTGTGTAGCTAGTTGCCTTCATTACGTTAATATTTCATTAGGTATTCCTGTTAGTTTGCCGATCGTGGTAGCCAAGCGGTCTAAGGCATGTACTGTCTTCACTAGCTCAGAAGCTGGGATCGTGGGTTCGAATCCCACACAAGGCATGGATGTGTGGTATGTGTATGCATTTATTCTGTGCTTGTGTTGACTGTGTTTAGGTAGAGGCCTTGCGACAAGCTGATCACTTGTTCAAGGAGTCCTGCCATCTGTAAAATGATCATGAAACTGAAAAATCAGAGGCCAGGGCCCAAGGGGGCTGTAGAGCCAGGGAAAAAAAAGAGTCTTTCTCCATAATATAAAGCTAATTTGTTTTCCTTCTTCACCCTGTAGTAAAATGCTGACTGCTGAACTGTTACATGTAACTTCATTTGTGATAAATGTCTGGTATGTCACAATGTAAGATCATGACTCCTAATGCTGTGGAGCAAAGTTCTTTTCAAGAAGTAAATTGTCTTGCCTCATCCTGTCAACAAATTACCCACATGTTCTGGAATTTGAAATTACAGTGTTCACAAGACATTAGTCTGCCTCACATTCACTGCCTAGAAAAGTTCTTAACCTTTTTTTATTATTTATTTAAAGAATATAAGGTGTGAATTAGCTGAAACTGTTAGTACAAATGTTTTCCAATACAGATAAATTAAGTGACAGAAAATTATGGTTTTAGAAATTTGAAGCTTAAGCCTTGTAATATTAGACTTGTCTGTAGAGCTGCTTCTTCATGGAACAAAGTGGTTCTGTAGGAGATATCACTGAAAAATGTATGATGAAATCTTCTCAGGTGATCCATTATGTGAGTGTTGAGTTTAAACCAACGTTTCACAGATGTTTGTCTTTAATAGCAGAGTTGATGTGATATCTGTTTTTAACCCAACATTGACACAACTGATTGCTTGAGAAGGCTGTATGACATTTATTCACTCTGAAAGCTTCAAATCTACTGGAAAATTTGTTTACAACAAGAAAATTGTGACTACTTAAATGGATATCAAAGATCTGCTGTTTTGCTGATGGTTACATAGGAGGTATCACTGGAAAATCTATTTACATCAAAGAAGTTGTGAAGCATTTTCTGCAGTGGATCAGGGGTGTTCTGTTTTGCTGTTAACTTACATGTAAAGTTTTTTGTTGGAATTTCAGTGTAACTTATAAAATAAAAATGAAGCCATCACCCTGAAATTACAGAATCAAGAAGTATTAGCTGTAATGCTTAGCAGTTTCCATGAAATTGAAACAGGTCTATTTTTGATGGCCTCTGGACAGCTTTCCCATGTGGCATTGAATGCCTTTCATTGGGCATAGGCATGCATGTGTGTTCACTGCAGTGTTGATGAATGTTGGGTACAATTTCAGTATTGATAATGCTTTGAGCTGAGTAGAAAAGTCTGTCATTCAGGAAAGCTAACTTGAAAAAGCATTGCAATGAATATTATTACTGGACATGTGAACTCTCTTCATACCTTGGATTTAATATTTTTCATTTGTATTAGAGTTTCATTTGAATGAATTCAAAACATGTTTGAAGTTGGTTTTATTTAAGGAAAGCAATTTGAAAATGCATTGTACATAATATGAATTCATTACAAGCAAACTCTCATATTCCCAAATGACTATGGCACGTTAAAATTGTGTATAAAGGAAACAAAAGCGTAAATGTTTTAAGTCTCTGTATGTGACAATAACATCCATGTTAAGTATTGCTGTTAGTCAGACTTTAATATGGAAAAGCTATGGTGATAACCTTAACTGGGGGGAGGGGACTTTATGTCCAAACAAATATTTTATTTTAGAGCAGTATTAAAGAGAACCTTTCAGAATCAGTATATGCAGACCTTGATATAAAGCGGCATTTTAAGTATGTCTGTGTGTGTCTGCACCAGATTTGTATTATTCAGAACTATCAGTTGCTTGAATAAAGTATAGATTTATATGAACTTTATCAGCAGATACCACATGAAATAAATGCAGTTTAATCAGTATTTAGTGTTTGTTATGTTTGAAGTTGAAAAACATATTGGGTATAACATGTTCAATTCTCTTCGCAACCCTAATTTGAAGTGTTACTTTCTTTTCTTGAGACATACACAGCAGTGCTTATGGGTCTTCATGTAAAGTATCAATTATTTTTGCTTGTGTTTAACCTAATTTAAATGTGTCAACAAGCTTTAGGAAAATTCAGATTTTATGAAAATACATCCAGTGGCTCATGAGATAGATGGATAAGCAGACTGGAGGACAGAACAATTTCAATAGACCCTCTCCCAGGTTGAAAAAATGCCTTAAGGTGCAGGCAATGAACATATGAAAACAAAGAATGAATGAACACAGTATGAATAACATGGTAGTTACAGAAGGTCTGGAATAAATAGATAGAGAGTGAGTTTTACAGCTTGTGTGCAAAATGATTTGGAATGTTATATGGCTCCATTCTTGTGCAAGGGGGCCTAAACTGCATTAACCGTTCAGCGTGGTTTGACGTGTATGTTTCGTCAAGGTATTTAAATCGTCTGCGGGGGTTCGACGTCTGTGTTTCATCCAGCTGCACACCTATGTTATAACGCCCATAATAATTGATGGTTTTGCTGTAGATTGTTAGATTTTTCGCCTGCCTCTTGTCAAAAGAACAGTATATAATAAGGCATGAGTTTAGCTGCGTTAGGTCATCGTTACATATGCCTGTCTTGCAGCAAAATCCTGTTGCTCTTGTGAGAGATTTCCTCATTCAAACTGTTATGAATGGCGTGTTTTCTTTCCTATGAAGTTATAAACAGCAGAGAAGTGATATGTGCTGTGTTTATAATATCATATTGCCCTGAGCTGACCACACTAACACACTCAATTGGAATTCTTAGAAGAGGGATGTCCAAATTTTATTCTTGCAAGATCGATTGATTTTGCACAGTACAAAGCAGCCAGTTCTTAGAAAAACGCCACAAATTAAGGCAGAACACTGTGGTCACCCCCTGAGATGATACGGATGTGTGTGGGGGAGGGAAAAGAACTCATTCCTTCATGTATTATTGCTCCAGTTGACTCCATTTTATCGTACTGACCTTGGTGGTCATTTCGAGGGATGACCATAAATATTTTTTTGAGCCAGCTAAGCTCTGCTTTCGTTCACTACATACCAGCCAGTTCTTAGAATAACTTAATGAATTCTGTGGTCACCCCTACGTCTTATGCCGCCAAAACGAATGGAAAATGAAACGCAAAAGCACCAACACTTGTTATGATAACATAAAGGTTGAATTTACTGCAGCTAATCTGGCAAGCTATATAACTCACGGAGAGACATTTCCTCTTGTATTCCCCCCACGGGGAAGAAGGCAAAGCCGCACAGAAGATGTTTGGTTTACGGAAAAAAGAGCCAAATGAGAGATACGCAGTATTGGTGTGGTGAATGTGAGAGCGTTGTGTATAGAAGAATGCTTCAATGCGTACCATACTCTGCTCAAATTCTAATCCACCTCCTTCCATTGCCGAGATACCGGGCGCTCATATTATAAGGCAAGGTTATAAAACCATCTTTTAAGAGGCATACTAATCCTGCAGTTGACTCCATATGAATACTTTATTTAATACAGGAATGGTTAACATTTGTAATCTGTTTATGGTATTATGAGAGTTTGCTATAAATGTAAAATGTACCAATTCTGCTATGGAAGGTAGAATTTTGCTAATAGTGAAACCATTCAACATTACAAGTTATGTTTCACCCACCATCTTGGTGTGAAATATTTATACATTCCCTGCATCTGGGTGACTGTCATGGTGTGTTCTAAATGTTGTCCGAGTATGAGTGTTCTTTCAGCATGCTAACATTTTAACATTGTGTTCATTATTGTTTTAATTTGTAGCAATTAACTGCTGTAATGAGTAGCTGTCTTGTTATCATTTAGGTTCAACCTCAGTTCCATCCCTGGAATGATTTGAGCCTATATACGTAGCTGTTTTGCCTCTGATGCAGGTTGGTCTTTTAATTTGTTTGCTTTTTGTGTAAAGCAAGTTTTTTTTATATAATTTATTTATTTAAGCAGAGACTATTAGTAGGTTGAATGTGTCCTGACATGTTCAAGATTTGCATGCTTATCCAGGGCGTGCTTGCTCTTGCAGTAATCAAGTCCTTGATCATATCTTCATAATCACCATTGTGAGAACCTCACATCCAGCATTTCACAGTTGAGTTACCTATGGCAGATTATATCAGCTTCCCTCATCAGAGGTGTATGAGATGTGAAATGAGATTGTTCAGAGAAAATTTAGTATCTGATTTGTAAAGTGACAATTTGTTTTTGTTTGTTTACAAGTTGAAGAGGTGATGAGCATACTTCATTTTATTTTTCAAAATAATATGCATATAATATAAAATATTTATCTTGATATTACAATATCCATACATTTTGTTTGAAACAATGTTAGTAATTATGAAACCTAATTAAAAATACACATCAAGACAGTATATGGACTCTAAGTTCTGTACTTCCAGAGATGAGAGTTTAGTTTTCTTCAGCATGGGTATATATTTTCCCATTTCTATCTGTATTGAAAGGATGTTTTGAATTCGCTTTTGGAATGACCAACTGCTGCTCCATCACATTATGTTTAGTTGTTATCACAGGATCACATGTTTTTGCCTTTCAGTATTATTTGAAGTTTTCAAACAGAAAATACTTGTGGAATCCTGTGATTAGTTAATAACTGCCTTGCAAGCTAAGTGGGAAGGTGCATTATTTTTAGCAAATCTGCCAGTCATTGAATTATCACTTTATGGCTTGGTGGGGGGACGACCAGAAAATTGGCTTAACCTTTAAGAGCCGAGCGACGCCATATGGCGTCATTAAAATAAAGTCAAGGGGACGAATGACGCCATATGTCATCGTGCAGTCCACACGTGTGGCCAGCTTTTTAAAATCTAATTTTAAGTTATAAATTCTTTTTCTACTTACATGATTTTTGGTCACCAGCTTTATAAGTTGTCTCTCTTCCCACCTGTGTCGTCTAACGGAATGTTGGCTTTGTGTGGAAATCTTGGAAACATCCGGAAATGCAGAGTCCCACATCACACTTCACGCACTTTACCCGGACGGTTCTTCGTTTCCCACGTGAAAAGGACACTTGACACCTCAATTTCGAAGTAGAGGAAGTCGGCCAGTGCTGTTGTTTGGCCTCCTCTATTCGAAATGACCCCGATGAAACGGCAGGGGTTCGACCCCTGGGCCGTTGAGGGCGAGGGGGGCCCCTTCCAGCATGCTCCAGCATGTTCCGCACTAGGGCGAGACGAAATTCTCTATGTGACAATTTCGCGCCACAGGATGACAACAGGATATAACTGTTCAGAATCGTCAGATCCAGGAGATGGAAAAATAATTTATTTGTCCATTTCCGGGTTTGACGACAGATGCTATAACTGTTTGCCATTCTGTCCGCTTTGTCGACATAACCCATGTGCTTGTTGTAGTTAGCAACAATTGCTGGCTTGATGGCATTTCCGTGCTCATCACAGAAACTGCCTTCTGCTGGAGGAGAGTGCATATTTGTCAGCATGTAAACGTCACGTTTGTCCTTCCAAAGTAGTGCTGTCAAGTTCTGTGTCACCCTAACACGAATGTCACCTTTCTTCAGTCTCTTCCGCCAGCAGACGGATAATCCCTGCGAAGTATAGCATGAAAACACAGAAAGGGGTGGAATCCTCATTTACGTGTGGAGCTTCATTAATATTTAACCCCACAGCTCCACCGGAATAATTATTCACACGCCTCCTGCCATGCTGGTGTGGTGGTCCCCAGGTTGCCGACAAAGATGATGGGTCTTCGTCGACTTCGGGTTCTGAGCCCGTTGTTTCCTCGCCACTATCAGAATATTCTGTACTGCAGTCTGAATCGGTGTCAATAATCAGCTGCTTCTCAATTTTGTCTTCTTCTAAGTGAATCGAGGCCATGCTTGCTAGTTCAAATTGTGATGTTTTATTCACAACACAACACGCTAGGCTAGAACGTTCTGGTAGTGCATGGCTATGCTGAGAACAGTACCTCTGTTTGGGTAGTTCGATATATGCACAGTCAGGGTTTCTGAAGGACAATTCTAATTGCATTGCTTAAAAACATCGCAATTTCAAGTATCCATCATGGCCCCATTTCGCATGCAATAAGCCGCTCATAAATTACACCGATTCAGAATGCATTACAGACAAGACTGAAAGGCATTCCAAGAACAGTAGCTCTGTGTGTTTAGTCCGAAATGTAAACAGAATCATAACACTTATAAAACATCGCAATTTGAACTATCCAACATAGCTCCATTTTGCATGGAAGAAGATGAGATTGAGAGGCCGCTCTTAAATCTCACCAATTTAGAATGCGGTACAGACAAAACTGAGAAGCATTGCAGGGCTATTCCAAGAAGAGAAACCCTGTGTGGGTAGCCCGAGATATAAAGAGGCAATGTTTGTGAAGTATAAATTACGATAAGACTTGTACCCACTCGTGCAATAGTAGAAAGGTTACGATGTGACTGGAGAATGTACAGGACAAACATTACTTTCCTCCCTCTTTGAAGGATGAGACACAGGAAGAGAGGATGTCATCAGCATGCATTTATACTGCAGAAACGTTTTGTGCAGAAACTTTCTGCATATTTGTGGACAGATATTCAAAATTGGGATTTTTTTTTTTTTTTGGAATCAGTGCAAAAATTTTTACAGATTCTAAAATCTGTAAATTACAATATCTGATTCTATATTCTTTCTAGATAAAAGCAGCGTTTATTTCGTTCGTTTATCACAAAAATTGTAGAAATCACAGCATTTTGAGTAACATGATTACAATTTTTATTACTCTACAGTGGCGGGCATTTAAATTAACTCCGTCCCGCTACCACTACCGGAATTTAAATGTCCCGTCACTTAAAGGTTAAAGACTCACATTTAAGCCATTTAACTTTATACTTATCACCATAAATATTCCAGATAGAAGAATGGTTTCTTAAAAAGTTCTTTTTATATTTAGTATTAGTATTTGGTGTATCCCCCCTTCAGCTACAGGCTCCAGTGTTTCCACGATGTTTTTTTACATGTTTATAAACATATGTAACAGCTTTCAAAACCTTAATTATTCAATTGAAACCAAAATGATTATGTATAAAATTAGGTAATATTGTCATGAAGTATATAATTAGATGCTATTTTCAATTGAAGTCTTCCATATGTATGAAGTAAGTGATATTTCTGTAATTTTTCAAGAAAGTATCCAAGTATTCTTTACAAAATTATAACCCTGGTATATTTAATGCCTGTATTGTTTATTCGGTAATGATTATCCTGGTTTTTGGCATAACATAGCAATGACAAACTCCTATGCATGTATTTAATAATGAACATTGAAGAAGACTGGTTAATTTGTTGGTGCATAGTGTTTAGTAAGAAATTTTGTTATAGTATTAATTTCATAAATTAACTGTACGGAAAAATTTCACCAAATCCGTTCATGCACAATTTACCAACCATGCTTCTGTTGCCCAGAAATAGTCCAGTTACTGATAACAGTATATTCATGTTGGATTTGTGGTTCTCATAGCAGTGGTTGTGAAGAGTATGGTCTTCTCTTTATAAGGCTATGTAGTTCAGAGACAGTCTGACATTTCAGAGGAACATATCACCTCCTTCTTCAGAGTGTAAGTGTAAGACAAGCAAGAAACCAGAAGAAGCAGGCTACCCTGAAGTTTGAGATGATATGTTACCTGAAACACTAGGCTTTTTCTCAGAGTATATTTATGAATTTCCATCAGTGGTCTCTGCATGTTTTAATATGTTAGAGTAGGATTCATTTACTTCTGGTGGCTAATATTCTTAAGAAAGTATTATTATCAGTAGTAATCTCTCACAGTTCAAGGGAGTGTGTCTGATGGTGACACATTACTGAACTCTCATTACATGAAATTGGCCAGGTTTTTTTTCCCCCTGAGGGTCAGTCCAGTTACTAATGGCAAAGTACAGTCTATTTCGTTATCACAGTCCTCTCTTTATGTTAAGAATATGATAACATTTGCATGTGCCGAATCAGAGGCATGTAAGAGGACTATTTTTAGCCCCAGTACTAGATGGAGGTGAGTGGTCACTTTCACACTGGTTGCTTTATTCATAGAAAAATAGTTCTTGATTCCAGCTGGTTACGAGACAGATCTGGTAAAGAGAAGGGACCTGAACTTCACTTGTCCAGCCCACTTTACAGACAGGGCCGTCCTGGTTTATTCTGGGAGGGGGTAAGAGGTAAAGCTATCCCTGTAACAGGCCATCAAGGCACATGTAGTCATGAGACATCGAGGCTCCCACATTTTCTCTAGACAGTCAGCTCACAGAGGCAGTAAGGTTGTCAACCTTATGTGTCAGCTGCCCTTTACACCCCTGGAAGGATTAGGTTAATTGAAAAAATCCACCTCATCAGGACTCAAACCTGTCACCTTCTGGCTTGTAGAATAGTGCCTCAACCAACTATGCTACCGCTTGCCCCCATATTCCAGGGTATGTCATTTACAATCAAAGGAACCATTTAGATTAGGTTGAATTGGATTAGATGAAGTTGACCATACCAGCTATCGCACCATAGTAATTCTTGAAGCTATTGTTTGCAGTCTTCTTGGTTAACCTTCTAACAGTCCCACACTCAGCATGTAGTGCATTACAGTAGGTTCTGTGAGACATGAGCTACACTAAGCATTTTCATATTAAATGCTAAGATTGTTGCTGGTTTGCAGCAAAATCAGTCCAGAATTGCAATTATAGTTACATTTGCTGAAAAATGTAATAACTGTGCTTGTTGTTTTACAGTGAAAGCCCTGGCAACATTGCCACTGAACACTGAGCCAAGTTTTGATGAGGACGATCTGTCTCCAATTCAGCCACTGCCTCTGTTTCAACAGCGTGAAAACTATTTCTCATAGTGCAGACATTACATTCACCTTCAAAAGCAATAGTGCTTGCCAGCATCAAGAATTCTCCATATTTATCATGTTGTTAATATGCATGCAGTGCTCTTAAATAGGAAAGAAATTCCTGTGAAATCTACATGACAAATCATAATTTTAAATTAAAAGTGTGACCAAGTATATGTCTTTTTACTGTTGTTATTTGGTTCAGAGTATTGTTAGTTCATTTCTGATCAGAGCATACGAGTTTAATGGGAACAATGCTGCCATGTATTCTAAACAGAACTAATATGAGTTGAATTAAAGTTTTTCATAGCAGTGATTGTGAGGAATGCCGTCTTCTGGGATATGAAGCTGTGTAGTCAGTAGAAATTTACCAACATTTCAGAGGAACATACTGCCTCCATCATCAGAGTCAAAGAGTAAATCAAACAAACAACCAAGCAGAAAATGAGGTTGAACTTCTACTGGACTACATGCAATTGCAGCCCAGAAGATAATACTCTTAATGCTGAGTTATTTATGCTGTTGCATTGTGTTACCCAGGTTTATGTTGTTAACCATGTAGAGCACAGAGGTTACTATATGTGTCACCCGCGTTAACATTAAGAAACTCTGTACTTTGCCCACAGGTGACTTTTGTGTCATTCTCAGAATAAACAGCAATTATTTCCATGAACAGTATTAACCAGTTGAGCTTTATCACGTTTCCTGTGAGCTAAGAATGGAATTTAAAATATTATTTACAAGAAAATTTTGCCTCAGAGGGTTAAGAAAACAACTTCCTTTATTTTGTACAAGATAAGAACAGGACATGTGCTCCATAACAGAACATATGGATTATATACAGACCTGGGTCTGCTGTCATCTTTTGGTACTGGATTTTACTTGGTCATTTTAAGAAAAAGAACAGTAGTGTTTACTTCATATCCAATATTTTTAAAAGTTATTTATTTTGTATAAAATAATTTTGTCATCAGTATCTACAAATATTCTTATATTTTTCTTCTACTTTCTCAGTGAATATAAGACAACATTACTCGAAATTTAATTGTGTCAGTTTTCTTATAATTTGTCTCTTTATCTACAGAATGATTATCTCATTAACATTAATATTTACCTGAAAATTTTTACTATTTTTGATATATATATTTAATGTGGTGAATATAGAAGTTTGGTTTATTTGATTCTTATTTGGCCAGTGGTACACATATTTAGATTCTTTACACAAAGTTCAAGTGAGAGTTATCTATGCAGAACTTAAGAAAAATTCAGCAAGGTATTCAGGCATTGAAAAGTATCAGTCAGATGTACATAGAGAGTAGTCTTTTCTTCACTTTCTACAAAGAATTCTCGAAAGTTATATGGGCAGTCGTATAACACATTTTTTAGTATATTTCCTGTTATTAGTGTATCAGTGCCAAATACTCCTTTTGGTTGGCAGATGGTTATTAAAATCAAACACAATATAAGAAGGTTGTCAGCTCCTTATTCATAACTTTTAATCAGTACCATGTAATGCAGGTTGCTAATTTTATAAGCAAAATGTTTTTTTTTGTTGTTATAGTAAAGAGTTACACTTTGTATTACTGTTTTACCTTTTATGTGAGTAAATTATGGCCAATAATGAAATGTGTTCCCTAGAAGCACTGTGATTGCAATAAAGTCCTGAGATCCCTGTTGGCAGTGATTATGGAGGGACTAAAATATTGAGAAGCTCAGTCTGTGCAAAGTAGAGTAGCTGGTCACACACAACTTTCAGATTGTATATACAGATGTCTTCCTACATAGATTTTAATTTCAACCATACAACTCAGGCATCTCAAATATAACATAAAAGAATAATTGTAAATTCTTTTTATGTGATTTTTCCCATCAACACAACAAATTTCTCAAAAATCAATCTAATATCATAGTGTTACATTGATCTTACTTAATGACTTCTACAGGTTTTAATTCATATTTGGATCATCATCAGGCAGTATTCTTAAATACATCACTCTGTGGGGTTCTCTTAATGTGTAGCCTTGTCATTACTCCTATGACAACCCACTTCTTCGGAACGGTTTGTTGGCCCTGAAAAGGACCGTGGCGCGCCGGTAAGGAGAAAGGCTAGTTACGGTGAATGGCTGGTGAAAGGCTAGTCGTTGAGCGCGGTCGCTGGAGTGGAGAGGCGGTAGCTACGCCAGTTGCCTAGTGTGTCAGGTATGACTACCGGCGAGTCCGTGCGGCCTAGTTGCCCAGTGAGTCGGGTGCGACCGGCGGACAGCCGTGGCAGTCATGCCTGGCACAGCGAAGCGCCGATGCCTCCGTAGACCGAGCGCTGGCGACGAAGCCTGCTGGCTGATGCTGCTTGGTGTGGGTAGCTCGTAGGCTGATGATGAACTGCGTAACTCGGCGTTGGAACCGCCCCTTTTTATACACTGCTCGGTGGGGCAGAGCGAAACTCGAAATTGAGGAGGAAGAATTGATTGGCTAGCGCGCGTAATGGTGTAGATGCGAGCTAGCGCCGAGCGTAGTATAAATGCGATCGTTTGAAGCAATCTGATTGGTTAGCGCGCGTGATGGTGAAAAGTGATGTGAAGAGCGAGCGTTGCAGAAATGCGTGATAATGTGGGGTGTTCCCACAACTCATTATTGAATTATCCTAATATGGATCCATGTCACTATTAAAATCATTACGATTCATGTAGTTATGGCTGAAATTTTTTATATTTTTGTCCCATCATTATGATGTTAGTTTCCATGTTTCTTGTCATGTTGTAGATGATAGTAATAACATCATATGTATCACTCATAACTTGTAAGTAAATCACCTGCACCATGCAGTATCAATACATATATCTCAAAACTTAGATTATACCAATACATGCTATCAATTTTCAGATATAAAACATAACAATGAATCCTGGAAATTTCTGTCATCTACAACATGACAAGAAACACAGAAACTAACATCATAATAATGGAACAAAAATATGAAAAATTTCAGCAAAAACTACATGATTTGTAACAATTTTACCAATTAATAGTAATATGGATCCGTATTAGGATAATTCAATAATGAGTGATGTATTTAAGAATACTGCCTGATGATGATCCAAATATGAGTCAAAACATGTAACAGTTACTAAATAAAACCAATGTTACATAGGATATTAGATTGGTTTAATTTTTAATAAATTTATTGTATTGACAGCCAAAAAAAAAAACATTATGACATATAAGTAGATGCAAACAGTAAAGATTGTTTTTTAGCCAGAATTATACTAATGGTGTCTATGCTGCTATCATGTCCTGCCCTATGTTTTGTAGGAAACTGAATTTATTATTCTTTATAACTGAACAGAACTGGACTATTTCTGTGATTTGAAGACTGAATTTTGTGTTCAGGACTGGTTAGTTTTTGGTCTTTATTCATTGTCTGATATTCAAAAGAACTCAGTGTTCCAGAAATTGGATCTCTTCCAATCTTCAGGTGGAAAGGTGCAAGGCACCTGCTCTGTGGGCTCCATTAGAACAGGGTAGTCACAGGTCCAGTGACTGAGGTCACCTCTTTCTAACAGATCCGACAGAGCAGGTGCCTGAGGACAGAAACAGATACAGTTTCCAAAATTTTGTGCTCTTTAGAATACCAGACAGTGCACAGAATGCAAAGACTTAGTAATCCTGAGCATTATACACCATCATCAGAACCCTTCAGTATTGGAATAGAATTTTAGCGTGTTTTTCTGAGTGAGATTATGCACATGATCTAGGATACAGAATTCCAGAGCATTGCAGCGTTGTTTCTTTCTTGGAATATTTGACACTGGCATATGTCACCAACTCAGTTAATAGGGAGCAAATACAAAGTAATTTTGTAACCTGTAAGAATAGTATGTTGTTATTGTCATATCTCTTTTCCAGGGTTGAAGACCCTTGATGCAAAAATGAGCACATTGCCGTTTTCTGGCCAATACATTTTAATAACATATACCTTAATATTGTGATGTGCCTCTCTCTGACCACTAGGCTATGGCCAGTCCCACACCCAGTCCATCTGGGACTTCCATTCAGCTTCATAGGCAACACTCTGTTATCACATTCTTTATTTTCTTTGCAGTGCAGGCTTATAATAGAAAGTACTGCTGTACAAAGCAAACTCTTAATGGTTCTAGGTTCAGAAACTATAGAAGTACACACTTTTCAATCACTGAAACATTTCTTGACCCTTGGTCAGCAGCTGGAGTAAAAGCAAAAACATAAAATTCTAATTCGTAGCCCAGAGATCACTGAATGTGCTTCAGTTCTGTCCAGTTTTTCAAGGCACAATATATCTTTGGTTACATAACTGTATATACCCGGCAGAGTGCGGAAAGCACGCATGCTAAGATTTATGTTCCATACTTTGGTGTCTATGCATTCCTTGTACTTTGATTGTTTTATATTCTATGAAATGTTAAAATTATGGCCTGTGTAGTTTATTGAAAAATTCTATAAATATTAGTAACATTATTTCTCAACACTGGTAGAGCTCAGAAATCATGAACATAAAGGCCTTGACTCAAATATTCTGAATGAATATTGCCTCTATAAATTACTGCAATCAAGATAAAACAAAGTACACCGATACAGGGTTATTACTGAATGATTTTTCTTCTTCTGTGTAAAGTTTCTTATGTGCTCATTAAGTATAGAAAAGAAGCAGAGACCCATCAGTAAATAATCAGATATAGCACCAGTGTTTGAAATGAAATATATTTTTGTACTTAATGCCACTGTTGGGGGGTGGGGGGGAACTATATGATAAAAATATAGAAGTATTATACATATTAAATGTAAAAATAAGTATTTAACAGTAAGTATTATTTTTTATTTGCTCCTTGATAATCTTAAGAATGATGAAAGTGTGGTAGGTTTTACAAATATGATTTTATTTTCAGAATGTATTGTAAATATAACTCTTATTATGCAGGAAGTATTCGTGTCGCATCATGGAAGCTACAAGATTTGAGGGTATAAATTCATGTGAATGTTTTGGCATATGTTGTGTTCTGATGCTCATATAACTGAAGAGTCAGGTTCATTTATGGCCTAAAGGGGAATTAAAGATATTTGAATCTTGATAAAGATTTTTGTGAATTTTTTTTTCATTGTGTTAAGTGGATCACTATGTAACTTACATAAGGCTCCTGAAATAGTGAAGACCCAAACTGGGACAGCTCAGGTGGTTAGGACACCTAAGAAGAGCCAACGAGGCATCTTCATGTAGGAACCTAACTTCTTCCAAACGTGAAGGCACAAGGAGGCCTGGAAGACCCAGCCTGGACAGGAACCTATGAAGGAGGCGAAGACCCACACAGGGTTGTAGCTCCAGTAAAGAGGAAGAAGTTAAATAGATAATTAACAGTCCTTTGCAGAAAAAAATAAAACCTGGGAAACCACTTGAGTGTGGAGATAAGATAATATTTAAATGAGTGAGTGTGATACAGTTCTTGTAAGGCTGTGCCATTGTGTAAGAAATGTAGCTGTGAATTTCATATACTGGGTACTGCAAAGGCACTGATGAACTGTGATCTGTGAAATACATGAAATGTTTGATATTGTAAACTCTCCAATGTTGGGGATAGTATGGTGCAATGTCCTATAAATTTATAGGAACACAGCTCAATAAATAAATCAATTAGATTTGTTT